TGAGCAAGGGAAGGGACGGAGGGAGAGGGAGAAGCAGATTGGCCTCTGAACAGGGAGTCCCAGGTGGGGTTCAATCCTAGTATCCTGAGATCATGACCTGAGCTGACGACAGATGCTTAATCCACTGAGTCGCCCAAGCACCCTTCCTTTTTTTTTTTAAAGATTTATTTATTTGAGAGAGAGAGAGAGAGAGCGCATGCATGATTGGGGGAGGGGTGGAGGGAGGGAGAATCTTGAGCCAACTCCCACTAAATGAGGAGCTCCGTATGGCGCTGGATCTCACAACCCTGCGATTATGACCTGAGTCAAAACCAAGAGTCGGTGGTGCTGAACGAGCTGAGCCACCCAGGTGCCTCAAGAATGTCCTTATTTCCAAGAGTCTTGGACTTCTCTCCATCAAAGAACATGCTGGTTCTGTGGGTCCTAGTGGCCTTTTTCTTGGTTAGCTGCCGTAACTTTCCAGATGCTGGTGTGTTCAAAGTAAAGGCTCTTCACTGTGCTGCTTATTTTGTCTTGAAAGCATGATGCTCTGCGGAAGATAATCTGTATGGCTTTGACCCCATTTTTATAAGTAATTCCTACTTCATTTGCTTTTGAGGAACAAAGAGTGTGATTTGTGATCACCCTTTCGAGCTTTTCCACCATGGGGATGCTAACAGGCCTTTCTTGGTTTTGCCTCCCTTAGGGGAACGTGACCCTGAAGGAGCTGAACGCCCGCCCCATGGAAGTGTTCATGTGCAGCGTGCTCAAGAGGCAAGGCTACGGCGAGGGCTTCCGCTGGCTTTCCCAGTATATTGACTGATGTTTGGACAGTGAAAATAAAAGAGTTTTCCTTCTCTGGACTGATCCTATTCACAGCTTCCTCATGAACTTTTCTAATAGAACAAGGAAAGCTCTTCAACCGTGTCTGGCGTTGAGAAGCCAAGAGTCTCTGTCAGCTCTCTCATCGCCCAGTGGTGACATGTGCTCTTCTCCACACTGTTGGGAGGTAACACTGCCCCACGTGCTGGTGCAGCTCAGCATCCCGGGACTTGGAAGTTGGCAGGATTTGCTGTGTAAAGCTGTGTGCCATCCTGGGGCACCTAAAAAGAAAAACACGTCTCACCACTGTGGTTGATTTCAAAGAAAGTGATTCTATTTTTTAAAGAAAGTGTTGTTAATGTCATTGGTGTCCCTCCTAACTTTCTGAGTTCAAAATTTACTTGGTCCAGAGTTCTTTTTTTTTTTTTTTTTTTTGGTCTAGTGAATGGCATTTAGCTTCTTCATAAAATTATGCACATGAAACATGTTGGAGGCCAGAGCTCAGTCAAGTAAACTTAGTCCTGTTGAGTTAGCAGGTCAGTGAGCCAAAGCTCCCCTGCTCTCTGACTGCCTTGTGGTAGGTGGCGCCAACCTTGTGCACAGAGGAGCAGGAGAGGGCCCGGCCGGCCTGGTGGTGGCGACAGGTTTCCACTGTGGTCAGCCAGGGTCGTTCCTCACCTGGTAGAGCAGACGGTTGGTTTGCTGTGGAGGAGTTCAATATAGAGTGGTGATTTTATTATTTTTACTTACAAAGCTACAAATTTCAGGCAGTCTTTGCTCTTAACTTTCCATAGCACCTTTTTCATTTTCAGTTATAAAAAAGAATGACTTTTGCATCAAAAGAGAACATCCCCCATGTTCTCCTATACTACAGGCGTGTGTCCGTTACTTTTGCACAGAGTCTAGGAGAACATTTTCAGGATAGGTGAGTCACACAGGGCAGTTACAGTTGAAGGGCTTTTAATTCTGTGAGTTGAGAACTTAAAAACCTGGCATTTGTAGCATTTGTTTGGATCCAGGAAAGATTTATTTAGTGGGGTTTAAAATTCTCATGTGCAAGATTTGGCTTCTTTATGGGAATGTTCATGAGCTCTTTTTCTAGGTTACTTTTTGGGGGAGGGTTGTGGTATGAAATTGCTTTTCTCCATGCCAGAAATAAGCTGGGGAAACTGAGGACTTTGTGTAGTGGTGTTCTTTCTTCGCCAGTGTCACTTGTCATTAAGAGCTCAGTATAAAAGCCTCAGCATGCCCAGTCGTGTGATGATCATTTTTATAGCATTCCTTTTTCTTAGTGCCACGTGTAAAATTGGATTTTCAGGATCTTAGACCCTCTCTTAAAATGGGTGGATATCTTCATTTTTCTTTAATGAGAGATTACAAGTAGTTTCCTCAAAACAAAATTATGATGCAAAGGTTTAAAATACATTCAGTGGAATTTTGGTGTCTAATGTGAGGGTAGGGAAGTGTGGGTAATATTCCAGGGGCGAGTAGGGGTGTTACTCTTTAATGGATTTCTCATTGTCAGTTTTCAGTACTGACCTATTAGGAAAGGCTAGTTTCTCACTGCCAGGTACAAATGCAGAGGCTCATTAAAGGATAAATCTGGGAATAGCGTGCCTTTCCTCTGTTAGCAAGCATAGCTGGATTGCAACAAAACTGTTGGTTTGGAAAGGGTGAAAGCCTTAAATGAACAAATGTAGCTAATGGTGAATGAACTAGGTAGTTAACTTGCATAATTTTAATTTCCTTTGGCTAAAGGTAACCCATACTTCTTTATCCAGAGACTTGAGAAGTATGATTGCAGCGCTAGTTTTCGGTTTTGTTTTTTCCTCTTTGTCCCTGACCCCTTCGTAGGCAAGCTAGAAAACTATGGATTCTACACAGCTCAGCTCTTTGTGAAAGTGGTTTACTTTGGCCACTGGAGAAAGAGGGGATTGAAAAGTCTGGCATCTATTTCCTGCTCCACAGAAAACACTGTTCCTATGAAAAGATTGCAAAAGAAGCTGCTGTGAGGAGCTTGGCTCTTAACAGAGAGGATCAGAGCTTTGTACAGGAACTCCATGAATTGAGACTTTTCATTCTGTTTTATCAGAGTGCATATGTGTCCTATTTCAGGAAAAGTTAATTAAAAGTCATTTACAAAAGAAAGTCAATCTGTATCCTAAGCATTTTAATAAAAAGTTAAAACAGACTTGCTTTCTTGTGCCATTTATTTTTTCATTTATTTGCGAGGCTTTGTTCTGGTTTTGAATGTGTCTTGACATTTGTTGTTTGTGTGGTGGGGGTGATGAAACAAAAGTTTCCTACTTAGGGAAAGAAATATTTACAAAGGTTATGAGAGACAAGTTTTGCTACTGGGAGAAAAAAAAAAAAGGGCTAGGCCAATTCACACATTTCATTGCAAGTCATAAACTTGGTACATTCGAGAGGCTTCAGACATGTGGTGATCCCAGGACTGGTGGTGTATACTTTTTTAGCAAATCTCATATTAACATGTTAGTAAGGACTGGGGCCAGTTTAGCTGTTCACCCTTCACCATTTTATACAAAATCGGAGAGATTCGGTTGAGTGCTACATTTGGTAAAACAGGGAAAGGAATGAAATGTGTGCTCGTGCATTTACCAGGTTTGTAGGGAGCCTTGTTTTTAGAAAACCCAAATGAGATTCTAAAACTAAAGCAATGGGACAAATAGAATGGAAGCAAAACGCAACAGGTTCTTTTTGACCAAGTATTAAAAGTGTTAGAGGCATCTTGTGATTGAAACTAATGTCCCTGTTACTAAAATGATGCCATGGGTCCTATGCTTATATATAATATCTGTCGTTTGAGTTAGAGTGGGACATGAGAAGTACAGACTGAGTCAATGAACCCAGCACTCAAGGGGTCTCACCTTGGCTGCTGGCTGTGACTTGGGACCCTTTTTAATGTGCTGTAAACAGAAAAACCTGACGCATCATGGTTCATGCTGGAGCCTTGAGCGTCATTAAGAGAGAATCATGGGACTCAAGAGAGAAAGGAACTCTTAATTGCTAGGAAGTTGGGATAATTAGATTTTCCTGTGATGGAGGCATCTTCGGTGTCACAGAGCCGAAAGAAAACCATGCCTGCTATGGAAGACTGCTTATTTCAGCCCCACCTCATACTATGATGGGTCATTTAACTTTCTCCAGCAGGCTTATTGGATAAAACAGCATTAGTTTTATCCAGAAATTGAGGCAGAAAGGTTATGTAATTTTAGTAGTAATTGAATCATCTTTGTTAATGCTTGCGTAAATAATGCACTACAATCTTCCAGGCTGCTGCCTGTTTTTGTATGACCTGTGGCGGGGGGGGGGAGAGGCGGATAAAAGAATGCTGTCTTGTGACATAAAATTCAAATTTCAGTTTCCATAAGGAAGCTTCTACTGGAGCACAGCTATCCATTCCCTCAGGTTTTGCCTACTACAGCTGCAGACTTGGGCGTTGGGAGAGTGTATGGTTCCCAACTACTGTTCCACTGAGGCTCTGGCCCTTTACTGAAAGAGTGTTGGGCCCCTAACCTAGATACATCCTAGGTGGTGGTTATAAATGTATGGGAAAAGTGCAAAGTACAGGGTGGTAGAATTGAAAATTTTTACTTCAGTTACTGTTCATAGTTTTAAAGGGCAATTTTACTTTGCGCAAACCCAGTTTTCATCCGTTTTGTCTCAGGCTTTGGCATCAAAAGCTTCCTAGGTGTAGTCCTGTGAGCTGCGTTTCAATTTCAATTAGTAATTTCAAATTACTAATTCGGCCAAAGGGCCAAGGATTTCCTTGCCCTTATCAAGCCGGGGGCCAGAGGCCTCTGGTTTAGACCTGAGCAGATACTCAGGTCCTATCACTGCCTGGACAAGTCTAGCCACGTCAGCCCTCATTTCTATTTTCTCCTGCAGCCCAACGAACAGCAAAGGTACTCTGTCTTGCCCAAACCCCGTCTCTCGGTAAAATCACACGCCGTCCACTCTCCCTGAATTTATCCTCCTGGACTGCTTCCGCCCCTCGGTGGCACAGGCGCCCAGAACGAACGGGGCGGGGGGGGGGGGGGGCGGGGAAAGGGACGGGGTCAGCTTGAGCAGCCAATCAGGGCCCGGCCCGAGCCCAGCCAATGGGGGCGGGCAAGTTGGGGCTTAGCCAATCGGGTCCGACGAGGAAGGCTGGAGTCCGTGTTTGCAGCTCTCGCTTACCCCTTTGGGTGACGCTGAGTGGGACCCGCGCGGGGCCCGACCGGGGATCTCTGTCTCTCTGTGGTTCCTCTGGAAACCCGGTGTGCATCGCTCTGGAGGCCATGGCGCGGCAGTGGGGGCCCTCCATTAGGGCGGCCGAGAAAGCGGGTTGCGTGGTGAGCGCCTCCCGGGCCGGGCAGGCCGAGGCGGACTCGTGGAGCTGCAGCGGAGTGATCCTGAGCCGCGGCCCGGACCTGGTTCTCTGCCACGGGGGCATCTTCACCCCCTTCCTGCGGGCCGGGAGCGCGGCGCTGACCGCGGCCGGCGCCTCCTTCCTGCCCAGCGACAGTTGCGATGACGACCTGCGCCTGCACGTGCAGTGGGGTCCGGCAGCCGCGAGCCCCGCAGGCCGCGCGGAGAGGGCCCGTCCCGGCTTGTGCACGCCCCAGTGCGCCGGCCCGGAGCCCGACCCGCCGGCCCGACCCCGCGGGCGGCTCCTACAACCCCCGAGGCCCGCCGAGCTGCTACTGCTGCTGAGCTGCCCGGCCTTCCGAGCCCACTTCGCGCGCCTCTTCGGGGGCGAGGCGGCCGAGCAGTGGCGCTTCGCGAACGCGGCGCCGGACGACGAGGTGTCGGAGGAGGAGGAGGAGGACCAGCTGAGAGCGCTGGGATGGTTCGCGCTGCTGCGCGTGCGGCCCGAGCCGGAGGAAGAGGAGGAGGCGGCGGCGGAGGAGGAGGGCGGGCCGGCCGTGGGCGTGGCGCCTCTCGGGGCCGTGCCCAAGGGCGCGCCGCTGCTGGCCTGCGGCTCCCCGTTCGGGGCCTTCTGCCCGGACATCTTCCTCAACACGCTCAGCCGCGGCGTGCTCAGCAACGCCACCGGCCCGCTGCTGCTCACCGACGCGCGCTGCCTGCCGGGCACCGAGGGCGGCGGCGTGTTCGCGGCAAGGCCCGCGGGGGCGCTCGTGGCGCTGGTGGCCGCGCCCCTCTGCTGGAAAGCCCGCGAGTGGGTGGGCCTCACGCTGCTCTGCGCCGCCGCCCCTCTCCTGCGCGCCGCCCGAGCCGCACTCGGCCGCTTGGGTCCCGGCCCCCGCGCCCTGGCCGCCTTCCTGCCGAAGGAGATGGGCGCGCCGTGGGGCCTGCCTCTCCGAGACCCCGGTCCCCCGTGGGCGGCTGCGGCCGTGCTGGTGGAGTGCGGCACCGTCTGGGGCTCCGGAGTGGCCGTGGCGCCCCGCCTCGTGGTGACCTGCCGACATGTGGCCCCTCGGGAGGCGTCCAGGGTCCTCGTGCGCGCCTCGCCCCCTAAGTAAGGCCCGCAAGGTTGCCCCAATCTGCCCGCCCCGGGGGTCTCAGATCGTAACTCTGAGGATAATGGAGGCCTTCTGGCGTCATGCTGATGCTTTGACGGCGTAGCGCGGACAGAGACCTGAGTCCCTGCGCTCATCCTCGGCGTTCACAACCTTAGTGTAGGGCGTTCGGGGCCTCCTTGGCAGGGGGTGAGCGGGGCTTGAGCAAAATGTCAGGCAGCTCTGGATTGCGGGGGCAGGGCGGAGTCTCAGCATCCCTGGCTGGGCGGGCGTCTCTGAGCACCCTCTTCCAGCTTGAATTCCGTCTGAACTCTGCTGTCTCATAGCCCTGCTCCCACACACCACTAGGCTCCTTGGATGGTGACTTCCCCACCCTGTTCTGTCTCCCCTGAGAGGGGTGGTGAGGTCTCAGAGGCCCAGAATGCTGCCTTCCTGGGGTCAGGAGAGGAGTCTCTTAATCTTACTTGTTCGCTATCTTAGACCTTAAGCAGAACTTCCCATCCCGGTAAAAATTACATGTGTGGAGTTACACCTAGTTAGAATGTGGGAGTGGGGCGGAGCCCACAGCCGCACTGGAACAATCTTTGGATGATCCTGGCAGCCAGGTTTGGACTTCAGTCACTTCTGTCACAGCAGGGAAAGGGCCCTTGGCCTTCTTTCCTTCCTTTTGCCTGGTAGCAGGGACAGCAGCCTTAGCTTCCTTGCTTAGTTTCTAGGATGCGGTCTGTTTCTGGGACCTCCCAGGTGCCAGACTTAGGCAAGAGCAGAGCAGTATTGCACCATTTGGTTAATGCCTGAGGTTCTGTACCCGGCTCAGCCCAGCCTTGCAGCCCAGGCCTTTCCAAATCCCTCTACTGAATTTCCAGGGTTAACCCCTCCCCCCACCCCCGGCAGCCCTCAGGATAGCCATGGCGCTATAAGGAAGAGGGTATGAGGATTTCCAGCAGAAGTGGTGCCCACTCCCCCTCCCCTGACAACACACACACTTGTTTCTGGGGAGCCCACAGGGTCTGCTGGAAGCTTTTCCTGCAATGTAGGAAAGGGTGCCCCTCTGTGATCCCAGGCAAGCCAGTCTATGCTGCCTCTCCCTGAGTTGACTTGTAAAGTCTTGGAACACAGTCTGGGACACACTGAGAGCAGAGATGTGCTAGGGCGTATGTATGTATGTAAACAGGGACATAGCGTTGAAATCCTACGCCTGCCCCACCAACTGGCAGGATTGTTTTCCTGCAATGAGACCGTGAAGGAAAACACTGGGAATGTGTGCCCTGGCTTCTGCCACTTAACCGTGTGACCTTGAGGAAGTTACTCAACCTTTCTGGGCCTCAGAAGTGCCACTTCAAATGGCGATAACACCAGCACCTGGTTCTTAGGGCTTCGATGGGAACTAAATGAAATGGGGTGCACAGAGCATTAACACCTGAGCCGGCCCACAGTGCTCTCCAGGTGTCAGGGGTTAGGAATATGGTGAGACGCAGGGAGCTTACACAGACGTGTGAAGCTTATGTTTGGAAGTACCCCAGGATGGCTGAGGGGTGTGCCCAGAGATGCCTGCCTGGCATGTGTCAGGGCCAACGCCAGACCCGTTAACCCCCAAGTCCATGACTTCTAGAGTCACTCTCATCCCTTTGCTTCCTCCCAGCGCTGAAGGGTCAGAAAGCTAGCGCTCACTTTGTTTCCCTTGCTCCTAGGAGTGCCACAATCTGGGGACGTGTGGTGTTTGCCACCCAGGAGACCTGTCCCTATGACGTAGCACTAGTGAGCCTGGAGGAGGACCTACATGATGTCCCCCTGCCAGTACTGGCTGAGCATTTCCAAGAAGGTAAAGAACAGGGTGCCCTGTGGTCTGTGGCGGACCTCAGGAAGCAAAGTGCTGGGCACTTGAACCCTCTAGATTGGGGGCCCGGTTCCCTAGGTGGGCTCCCTGCCTCGCCCCTGACAGAATGATGACGGTGGCATGAGTCTGGGATGAAGTCAGCCTGCCTTCAGCACTCTGGCTGGGTTGCTCTTGGAGGTTTCCCTGCTTGTGCCCAGCATGCGTCCGGTCCTAGGCGTGGTGGGGGTGTGTGTTTTGGGGGCGGGTGGTGGGGTCCCTGTGAAGGGTAAGGCACACCTTTTTTTCCCCCTGAGGCCCTACAGCAGTGTCATGTGGAGGGGCTGAGCTTGGGGGCTCCTTAAAACACCGCGGGCCTGCCAGGGCACTGTTCTGCTTTTGAGGCCCCAGTGGTGTGGCACACTGCCTGGGGAGTGCCTGAGCTCTCCAAGTAGGCATCTCCTCTGCCACTTGCTAGCCCTGTGTCCTTGGACAGGCAACTCCTTATTCTCTGCCTCAGTTTCCACATCTGGAAAATGGCGATAATGTTCCCTACTCCCGGGCACTGTGAAGTGTGGGTGAGACGTTGCCTGTAAAGCAATTAGCTGCGTGCGCCATGCACGAGCACTTGGTAAAGGAAGTTACTGGCAGGTTCTTGGTCGTCGTCATGACCACCTTTTTTTTTTTTTTTCACTTGATCTTAGCCAAAAGACCAAGAAGCGATGACCCCCCTTTTTTTTTTTAACCAATGTCACAAACATTTATTTTCCTTTTTTTTTTTTTTTTAGGATTTTATTTATCTGTTTGTCAGAGAGAGAGATCACAAGCAGGGGGAGTGGCAGGGAGAGGGAGAAGCAGGCTCCCCATGGAGCAGGGAGCCTGATGGAGGGCTTGATCCCAGGACGACGGGATCATGACCTCAGCTGAAGGCAGATGTTTCACCCACACAAACATTTATTGAGCATGGGGCTGGGTACCAGGGACCCTGAAAAGCAGCTCCCTGGTCCAGCAGGGACATGAGGGCCAGAGAACAGCCTGATGTCAGGAACAAGTGGTGAGCAGGTGCGGGGAGCTCAGTGGATGTCCTGGCTTCTTCCCGTGGGGACCTGGGGCTGACTTCCTGGAGGCGGGAGTATCTGAGCGGCAGGGCAGGTTTGGGACTTTGGAGAGGGCAGGGAGCAGGATGGGGAGCGTGTGAGTCCTGTCAGACAGGCGACTCCCTGCCTTCGCCCTCCTTTCTCCCCGGGCAGGAGAAGCTGTCAGCGTGGTGGGCTTTGGCATCTTCGGCCAGGCTTGTGGGCCCTCGGTGACCTCAGGCATCCTGTCCGCTGTGGTGCGGGTGGACGGCAGACCGGTGATGCTCCAGACCACCTGTGCCGTGCATGGCGGCTCCAGCGGGGGACCCCTCTTCTCCACCCGCACAGGAGACCTCCTGGGTAAGCAGCCCCTTCGCCCTCTCCCAGCCTTGCCCTTGCTGGAGCCTCAGTGCCATCCAGTGAGTGCTGGGCATCCTGCCCCGGGAGCCACCCATGGCCTGGGACGTTGGTGGGCCCGATGCCCAAGAGGTAGTGAGCCAAAGTTGCCAGGCGCTTGTGCTCTCGAGGGCGGAGGGGGACAGACGCTGAGCAGGGAGGGAAGAGATCCGAGTCCCGGTTCCTTCTCTGCCACTAAGCCACCCTGTTACCTCAGGTAAGTCCCCACACCTCGTTGGATCTGTGACACTCAGGAGTTGGATTAGTCCAAGAGTCACAGGTCAAGTGAATGAGTGCAGGAGTGAAGACAGCAGGGAGTGGAGCGTCAGGGGTGACGCGGGGTGAACGGCGCCCCACTCCAGCACCCCGCGGCCTCCTGACACAGGACTGTGGGGTTAACATGGCCCAATTCTGCAGCTGTTCACTAGCAACTGTGACCCTTTTTTAAAAAAAGTATGTGGTGGTTAAATCTTTCCATTTTAAAATTTTGGTAATAAAAAACAAAATAGCCCGTCCATTAAAAAAAAAAAAAAAAGCCAACTGTGAGCACACATGGATGCCTCCACCTGCACGCCGGCACCGGGACCCCCGCGGTGCTTCCCCTTCCCTTAGTTCTGAGGTCATGAGGAACCTCGCCCTGTGCTAGCTAGTGGGAGTGGAATCCTTACTCCTTCAGCTGTGGAACACATAGTACTGGCGGAATCCCTACCTCACAGCCCCGCGAGAAACAGATTGACCAGCTAGAGCCAGTGTTGAAGTGCGGATGGTTCTTTCTGTCTTGAGCCTTTACGTGTCCCAGCGAAACACTTTTTTCCCAAGTTTCTTATGCACTTGCCCACAGTCTGTTGCCCACTGTAGAGCAGCCGGCAGACAGCATCTTAGCCAAGTGATGGAGGTCAGCTAGCATCACAGACATGCCGACAGACCTCCTCCACCTCCCGACGGGTCGCCCGGAGAGGGGCGCGGGATGGTATTCCCAAGCACGTCAGACCTCATGCTTACCGTGAGGAAACACTGGGTGACCCCAGTGTGAGGGACCTTATGCGGAACAGTTGACCCGTGCTCCTCCAAGCGTCAAGGCCACGAACGGTGGGGAAAGACTGGAACTGATGCAGACCGGAGAAGACTCTAGAGACAGGAGCCAGAGGCTGACGGGGCCCTGGATTGCATCCGGGAGCAGAGAAAGCGCTCATGGAATCACCGGCGACATCTGAACGTGTCCTGTATTTCAGTCACGAGCATTGCTCCAAGGTGACTTTCCTAGTTCTGAGGACCGTTTTGCAGTGACATGAGAAGCTGGGTGAGGGGCAGGCAGGGACTGTACTATTCTGGCAAGGCTCCAGGCTGGGGATGGGCCTCAGCTCCCATCCATACGTCCGTCCGTCTGTCCCGTGGCTCACACCTGCTTTCCTCTTTGATCCTTCCACAGGCATCGTGGCCAGCAACACCAGGGACAATAACACGGGGGCCACCTATCCTCACCTGAACTTCAGCATTCCCGTCTCGGTGCTGCAGCCGGCCCTGTGGCGGTACAGGCAGACGGGGTACCTGGATGGCCTCCGCCAGCTGGACGGCGCCACAGAGCCTGTGAAGGTGGTGTGGCGGCTACAGAGGCCCCTGACTGAGGCCCCGCGGAGCAAGCTGTGAGGCAGCGTCGGGCCTCTGGAGAGAAGAGCCCCTGTTTTACACCACAGCGAGCAGCGGCCTTGGGATGAGGACAGGGTGCACCCCCCCACACACCTTGTTCAGCTCTGGAATTGGGACCAGACCCCATGGGTCTCCAACCTGGCAGCCTTTTTCGGGGTGCCCTTTTGAGCCCTCACCTCAGTCTGCCCACTGGCACTAGACTTAGCTGTGTTATTTCTCCTTCTGGGGAGCCCTGTGCGGGCACATAACAGCCCTGGTCCTGAGAGATGGAGGCCAGCGGAGGGCAGGGCCAGCCCCGGCTTTGCGTCTGTTCCCTGTCTCCTGATGGCTGCTGGCCGCCAGAGCAGCTGTGTTACTGAGAAACCCTCGGCAGAGAGGCCGGCCCTGACCGTCTTTCTGGATCTGCTGCATCTCTAGGTGGAGTCCCTGAAGGTTAGGATTCGTGGGTCTTCATAAGTCGGGTATCGCTGACCTCTAGCGGCACTCTGCCATAGTGCCTTTACTTTCCCGCCCATAAAATGGGCCTCAGGGATCTCACGGGGTAGAATGTGTCTCACTGGAGGTTGGGAATAAAGAGGATGTCTAGGAGAAACTCTGCTTCTATATATCAGGTTCTTTTTTCTTCTTCTTTGTTGCAAAAGTTGAATTGGGAAGAGGAAACCACCAGGCACAGAAATACACCTTTTCTGTCCTGCTTTCTTGGCGGGGCTGTGAGCACAGGGGATACTCTGATGCCAGATGGGCCTGGCCTCAGGCATGGTGCCAGTCAGCACTGTTCGGGGCTCGCAGCCCCCAGAAGGTGGCGGTCTTGGCCGGGCAGTAAAGGCTTCCAGAGCAGCCAGGATGCATCCAGGCCTATACTAGGCCCTGAGGGTGGGTTGGGGAGTTCACGGTATGAAGGAGACCATGGCAGCCCCAAGGAGCTAAGACCAGCCTTGAAAGTCAAGAACATGTACTGCATATCCAGGGTCCTGCATATGTCCCCTCTCAAGAAATGACTGTGAGGTCATTGACAGGTTGAATGCCATTGTGGGGGTGGTGACTGGGGGACTAACTCTAAGCCAAGAGAATCGCCGGGAATACTTCGTTTCCAGCATCTGCCTGTTGAGTGTCAACTGGACAGCGAAAACTCCTGCGATGGTTGTTCTCCTCTTCACAGCTTCAGAATGGTCCAGAGGCCAAAGTTAGCTTGAGAGAAACCCCATAGTAAAGTAGTGGCAGCAGGGGGTGAGGGCTGGGGGCTGACTTAGCTGGGGGTGGGAGGGGAACATTCCTTCCAGTGGGTATCAAGGAGCTTGGCATTCTGGGGAGACTGGTGTGTCAGCCCATTAGTGTGATGGGCTGTGTCCTAGGGCCTTAGGGAGAGGGGATCAGGTAAGGTCTCCTCAAGGTGTCTTAGGAGCTGAACGCTGAGAGGAGAGTAGGTCTTCACGTGATGGCCTGGACACAGGCAGGTTGTTCCAGTTGGAGAGCAGCAGGAACTGGGACAAGGAAATGTGAGCCGTGTGTGTTCTGGGCAGTGCTAAGTGGAGGGGAATTCGAAAGGAGCAGGATGGTGGGCTGGGGAACCAGCTCAATGGGGTCAGGTCAGGGAGAAGATGGCTGAAGCAGGACAGGTGGGCATGGAGAAGACCAAGTGATGGGACAGGAGCTGGGACAACACCGAGAGAGAAAGGGGAGATGCGCCTGCTTTTCTGACGAGGACAGTAATACAGCTGATGAGTTTGGGGGCAAGATGTTTCCTCAGGGTGTGTAGGACCTTAAGTGGAAAAGTACAGTGTGGGCTGTTGAGTAAGTAGATAAGTCGGGATAAAGCAGGATCCCCCCACCCCCAGCTCAGCAGCTTCAGACAATAGAAGTTTATGTGGGGTCGAAAGTAGCAGATTGGACCAGCCAGGAAGGGAAGGGGGCTCTGGTGCAGGGGTGGTCAAGGGACTGAGACTGCTTCCCTCTGGTCCCACAGAGTCCTCTGCTATGTCCTCTCCAACTGGCGGGTGGATGCGGGAAGAGACAGATCTAGTCCTGCTTCTTTTTCTTCTCCTTTTCTTTCTTTTTTTTTTTTTTAAGAATTTTATTTATTGGGGCGCCTGGGTGGCTCAGTGGGTTAAAGCCTCTGCCTTCGGCTCGGGTCATGATCTCAGGGTCCTGGGATCGAGCCCCGCATCGGGCTCTCTGTTCAGCAGGGAGCCTGCTTCCCTCTCTCTCTCTGCCTGCCTCTCTGCCTACTTGTGATCTCTGTCAAATAAATAAAATCTTAAAAAAAAAGATTTTATTTATTTATTTGAGCGAGAAAGAGTATGAGCCCTGGGGAGGAGCAGAGGGAGATGGAGAAGCAGACTCCTCTGAGCAGGGAGCCTGATGCGAGACGTGATCCCAAGACCCTGAGATCATGACCCGAGCCCAAGGCAGATGGTTCACCAACTGAGCCACCCAGGCGCCCCAATTCCTGCTGCTTTAAAAAAAAAAAATTTTTATTTTGAAAAAATTTAACATGTAGAAAGGTTGCAAGAATTCCCGGACGCCCTTCACCTAGACACCTCATTCCACTTTTGCCAAATGCCCCTGTGATGTTCTTTGTAATAAAAAGGTCTGATTTGGGATAATGAGTTACATCCACTCACCATGGCTTTGATTCCCCCCTTTGCCCGGAGCACTTCCTCACTCTTTCCTGAGTCTGATGCCCTTGATCTTCCTAGAGGAAACAGAGAATGTGCCTGAGCCTGAGTCTGTCCAAGCTTCCTCCTGATGAGATTCAGGATATGCCTCTTTGGTGGGGAGATCACATTAGTGATGTCGTCTTATTGTGACCTACTGGGGGGTATGTGGCATATATTTGTGCTATTACAGATGATAATGTTGGTCATTTGAGTAAGACAGCACCTGCGAGTTTTCTCTGACCTAAAGGTTTTTTTCCCCCTCTTTGTAATTAATAACTATTTTGTGTGAATCACTTTAAGTGATATAAATCCGCTGTTCTTTACCCCACTTTCACCCATGATGTTTATCACCCATTTATGTCTGTTGGCTTGATAACCTTAATCATTACAAAATGGTCGTTCTTTATTTTCACTATTCCTCCAACATTTATTAGTGGGCTTTCCCTTCCATTTGTTTAATTGTACCTGTTTGGACTCATGGATTCATATTTTCTTCTATGGATTATAATCTATTGTTGTCATTATGTATTTCGATGCTGAAGTTGTCTGTTGCTTTTGTCTATGTGTTTTGAGGCTGAATTTGTCTGTTGGCTGGTGGGAGCTCCTTCAAACTAGCTTCTCTGTTCCTTCTTTTGGCATCTTCCCATCGTTCTTTGAGCACCGCCTTCCAAACAAAAATGTGCTGGGCTTGCCTTGTACTTTCCCTGGAGCCAGACAGGTCTCCAGGGTTCTGACTACCGGAAAATGGTGTTTAGAAGCCAAGATCTAGGTAAAAGGTGTGCTTATGGTTCTGAGGTGTTGCTGCTTCTGGGGTAGACCCTCCATCTGTATGTTTCGGTCTCTGTATATGGTAAGCCTTGAGTTATCACCAAGAGTACCGATTTGTATTAAATGCCACAAGGTTCCTTCTTGCTCTCCCCTATTCCTATGTGTTCTCCCTCCTGTTGGTGAGAAATACAGGTACTTGCTTGCTCCATTCCTTGCATGTGATCGATCTTCTGACCCCCTTGGGTTGCCTCTGCCCATGCTCTGATGCTCTTCTCATATGGACCACCATTACCGCTCCCCACAAATCTACCCACTGATTTTTTTTTTTCCTACTTCACTGGTGATGTAGGAAAGACATTAGGGATCAAAGCCAACAGCTAAGAAAGAATTCTTGAGACATCTTTGGTACAAAAAGGTGGTTTTATTACAGCACAGGGACAGGACCTATGGGCAGAAAAAGCTGCACTGGGGTCATGAGGAGTGGTCCATTATAGACTTTCAAGTTGGGAGGGGGTTAGAGATAGCATGAGTCTCTAAGGAATTTGGAAGCAAGGTTTCCAGGACCTTGAGGGGGCTAGCTATTGTTGGGAAAAAGTCACTTATTACTGTTTAATAAAACCTGAGTCATGAAACCCTTCAGATGTGTATCAGTGGGCCAATTCCCTGGGTGAGGGGAGGGAGTGATTGCCAACACATATCTTGGTAGTTTAGAGGTAAAGGAAATTTCTAAAGGAAACTTTATATGTTAAAGTAGACTTACAGGATCGGTGGGGGGGGGGTTCGGGATAGGATTGTCTTTTGCCCTCAGCAAAGTATTAAGATCGAGGCAGTTGAGTCCCTAGAGGAATGTCACTCTGCCTATTGGCGTTGGGAGCTCCTTCAAACTAGCTTCTCTGTTCCTTCTTTTGGCATCTTCCCATTGTTTTTGGAGCACCGCCTTCCATGGGCTATAGGTAGGAAGGAAATTTAATATTTTTCTTCTGCCTTTGTTTCCCACATCAATTAGGAAGAGGGAAGGAAGCCACCTTTGCTTCTTAACTGCTTCAGACCAGAAGTGATGCGTTTCATTACTGTTCACTGTCCTTCAGCGAGAACTTGGTCCCACCCAGAAGCAAGGGACAGGGTGGGAAATGTCCCTGGCTGGGCAGAAGCTCCCCGGCAGGACCCCCACACCATAGAAGGACCCTGCCAAACTGGGTCTCATTTTAGTGCTGCCTTAGAAACAAAGACTCACTTCTACCTAAATAAAAATAGGTTTAATCTTCAGAACCTTGTGGACAGGTGCCAGAAACCTTGTCAACCTGGGGAGGCTCTAGGGGCCGCTAAGGATACATGAGGACCCAGCATCCTCTCTGCTTTGTTCCCCCTCTTCCGGCCTCTTCCGCACGCAGGGTCTGTCCTTCGTTGTAAGCACAGTTTGCATTTGGCCATCCAGACCTTTCTGGCCCTTCTCTCCAGGCCCTTTGATCTCTAGCTCTCCTTATCACACACCCCGTTTTCAAAATTCCCTCCATAAATGCCCAAGAGACCAGATGTCTGATTGGACCCATCATCTTCTCGGGTCTTGCTATGGCTGGGTTCCTGGGCCAGGGAGCAGGGCGGTGGTGGGGCAGAGAAGCCCTGCATGGCTGCCTGCGTTGTACACAAGGCTGGGTGCAGGCTCAGTGAAGGGCCTGGGGCTGCCAGTGTTGACAGGACAGAGGCAGAGCCCGAGCCTGCCAGGGGGCCAAGAAGAGACAAGCAGAAGCGCAGGAAGAAAATCAGGGAGGCTAAGACCTAGCTTACCAGCATCCCTCGTACTCCTGGGTATGTGCTAGACTGCGTTTCCTGGCCCCTCTCACGGTGGGTGTGTCCATGAGTTCCAGCTCACAGAATGAGAGCAGAAGGGAGGCATACCACTTCCAGGCCTGCCTATAACAACCTCTTCGCTCTCACCCCCTCCCCTTGATGGGAATGGAGGCGACTCCTAAAAGAGGTCAGAAGCCACTTGTTAAAGATGGCCTCTGACTGGCTGGTTCCAGGATGACTGTGAGTGAAGCAGGGGGCAGCTTCACGAACCTGTCCACTGGCCTGGTACTGACACCCAGCAAGAAATGCCCTTCTGTTGAATTTGAGCCATAGTTCAGGGGTCCAGATGGCCCAGCAGTAGAATTCTACCCTTGCGAATACAGTCTTTCCCTAGCTGAAAGCACTATAACCAAAGCACATTCTGGGGGAGAGAAGAGGAAACAGGGAGATTCCCCCTGTCCTTTGAGGCTTATACATTTCACTGAAAATACAGGAGCAGAAGGAAAGTACTTACCAGGCTCGCCAGAATTAAGGGTTGCCTCTTCCTCAAGTGGGGGTCCTGCCTCTCTTTCACCTGCTCCCCGAATTGACCCTAGGACCTTGGAGCTCCTCCCAGCCATGGGACCTGGCAGTAAAGCCACCTGCTATCTGTCAGGAAATACGGGCTCATCATGGCTGAGAGCCAGCAACACTTCCTTCTCTTAGGTTCCATGATGTTAAACAATCTGCCCGCGGTTCCTACACATCATTAAAGTTCCATAAGACTGCCAGGGTTTCGACATTCAAACCATACCTTCCTAACTAGCTCTGACCCTTGCAAATTCAAAGACAAAAGTCTTCCATTAGGTAGGGAGCCCTGATTTTCAGTTTCACGGCTCTGGGCCCCATTGGATGGGAAGAGAGGAGTGGTGTGGGGTAAGTGGCCTTGGGAATTGCGTATGGGGATTTTTTTTTTTTTTTTGAATGATGAAATGCCCTGGAGTTAGTGGTGAATGGTTGCACAGTGTAACACCACTGAATTGTATACTTAAAAGGGGGAGTTTTATGGTATGTGACTTATCCCTTAATCTAAAAAAAAAATCATTTTTTCAACGTGTGGGGGCGATGCCAGATGCCGGGGATCCACAGTCCAGCAAAGCAAGGTCTCTGTCCCCCAAAAGCAGGTCAAATGTGCTTATTGCCCTCCTTAGCATCAGAGTTTAAACCTCAGCCCTACTTTTCTCTAGGGGTGTCAGGAGGCAAAAGAAGAGATTAAAAACTATTTGGAAGTTTGCAAAGCCTAGGACAAGTGCAAGGCTTGGGGTATCCACACTGTAGCTCTCGGGTGGTTCCTCGAAGGCCAGCATTAGGACGGGCAGGGCAATGAACCCTCTGTGTGGTTGCTTTTCTGTGGCCCCAGGGGCTGAGAGAAAGAGGTAGAGACTCCCATACCTCTGATTGAATCTCCTTCTTCAGCCCAATTCAGGGGCCAGGGTGCCAGCCGGGATAGGAGAGAGGCAAGGAGTCCAAGGAAGCGGAAGGGGCAGCACACAGCCTGGGCTGTATGGGCTAATAATGTGTGTAGGGCACTCACGGGAGGACACCAGCTTCCCTCCAGCTCGGGATGGTTCTAGGCACCAACGTCTTCTAGGTTGCATCGATCACAACCCTCCTCATACCAGGGGTATACCAGGGGATACAAGGTCCTTGCCCAGAGCTTTTGGAAAAGGCACAGAACAGTTCAGACTGCTAATGTGAATATTCCTGAATACCAGGAAGATGGAGGGCAGTATCAGAAAGAGCACTGGCCTGGGAGCCCAGACGTTGCCAACATACTGTGTAGCCTTGGGCAGACTGTCTGCCCACATAAAACACCTATAAGAAATGACTGCTGTGTGTGTATTGCTGCTGTGAGCCAGGCACCCAGCTAAACACTTCACACAGATGAACTCGTTGGATCTGTTCCACAGCTCTTAGGGTAGGTGCTAATATTTGTATTAAATAGAGGACGATGGCTCATCCATCACCAAACTGGCTATATCCTATCTCCAGGTTAGAGCTTGCGCTGGTCTGTTTCTCTCCGGATCCCAGTCAAGCTCCTTGGTCTCCAGGACCGCCCTCCTAACTAGTTCCCCAATTTCAGGCATCCCTGCCACTCCCCTATTCTTTCCTTACAGACATAAGTCAGATCTGTCACTCTTCCACACTCTTCACAGTGGCATCCCACCGCCCTGGGGATGACACAGCCAATCTCCACCCGGGCCTTGGCGGGGGTGGGGGGGTGGGGCGCGGTGCTGCGCACCCTGTCCACGCGGGGCCACTCTGTCCCGTGGCGGCCTCTGCAGCAGCCCCCTCTCAGCTCTCTGTCCTGCCTCTGGGTCTTTGCACGCTCATCCTTGGAGAGAGGCCTTGGGACGCTTCATTTGCCCGTCTTTGGTACTGCGGTTAGCGATACAGGTTTTGTGTGTTTACCCCGGACTGTCAGCTCAGCGGAAGGTGGACACCATGCCTGTTTGATTCTCCATCCTGCCCGCACCCCCCAACCCCGCCCCGGGTTTACAGCGGGTGCGGGTTTACAGGGTGCCCCGTGCGCGGTCTCCGGGATTGGGATTTACGATGGTGCAGCCAGAGGCTGGTGATCCGCCGCCGAGGTGGCTCCGCCAGTGCCCCGGAGGCCGAAGTGTCCCCCGCGCACTCTGGGGGCGGTCCCGGGGGTGAGGGCAGGCGCGTGCCAAGCCACGCCCATGCCCGGCGGGAGGAGCCCGGAGCACTCGGCTACACGGGAGCGGCCGGGGCGGGGACGGGGACGGGGGTGGCCCGGCGGGGTGGCGCACGGGGCGGGCTCTCGGGGCCCAGCGTCCCCGAGCCCGCTCAGCCCCACACACGCCTGGAGGAGGCTCGCGGGGCCTGGAAGACGCGGCGGACGGCGTTGGAGGTCGGTGCCGCGGCATTGGGGCCCTGGTGGGGGGGGCGATAGTGCGGGGTAACCGGGCCCAGGCCTGCCTCGCCCCAGTTCCCCCAGCACACGAAAATGGGGAGGTTTAGTCCCGGGGAGGGGAGGGCAAACTCGACCCTTCGAAACATCCGCCCCTCGAAACTTCTGCAAAGTCTTCCCGGGGAAGACGGGCGGCCCCTCCCTCACGCTTCCCCGGCCCCTGGGAAGGCTCGAGAGTCACCCCTGGGTGAAAAGCAGTGTTATCAGGCAGGAGGAAAGCCTCCGTCTCTAGGGGGGCAATACCTGGGCTTACCCGAGTGCTGACCGACTCCGGCGTGCGCTAGGAGGTCCGCTTCTCTCCCGGTGCAGCCCAGGTTCCGCGGCGACAAAGGCCATTGGTCCCGAACTAACTCTGGTGGGGCTGGGAAGGCCAGGAAGCCTGAAATTCACCCGGAGCTGCTACTAGTGGGTGATGTGGGGCGCTTTCCTCTCCATACCACCCAGTAAACACACCCGCCTTTCCCCTCCAGGGATAGCCCTTCTGTCAGGGTGGGGACGGGAGAGGCCCTGGGGAGCTGAGGATCCCGCAGAGGGACCGGCGCAGGGCAGAGGGTCAGGTTGGGATGGGCCTTTCAGGTGTGGCGGCTAGCTGTACCTTGTGTTTAAAGGCCAGCAGGTGAAACAGGTAAATATGTAAAATATCAGGGAGGCCTGCTCAGGTCAGTGTGTGTAAGTGTGCGTGACCACACTAGCACCCCCAACTCTCAGACTGCCTTGTCCTCACCCTGTGCCTAGAGAGGAGCCTCCAAGGAGCGCTGGGCCGAAGCCAGCATCTGGAGGGCTTCCATGCCAGGGGAGGAGACCTGGGCCTGGTCTCCTTCAGGGCTACCGAAGGGTTACTGGGTGGAGCTGGGCTCCAGCCGGGTCTTTGGCCCTGAAATGAGGAAGCCAGGATCCAGACACAGGCGGAGAGCAGACTGTCGGTCTGGGTGTTGAGGGAACCACAAAGTGACTTGCCCCCAGAAGGGTGTCCAAGTTTCCTGGCCTTGGTTTTCCCTATGAATATGTATGTGCCACCTGAATGAGCCTGTCTGCCCAGAGCTGCCCTCTCCTGGGGCCTGACAGGACAGCTCCCCCTTCAGACTTTACCTTCTTTCAGAAGTCCCTCTCTTTTGGGTTATATTCAGTGTGCATCCCCTGGGGGGCTGGCCATAAAATGCCAGCTCTCAGCCTGCCCCCCTCTTCCCTGACCGTGAGGGTGGCTGCCTGAGAGGGGACACTCAGGGTGAGCCACACTCCAGCGGCCCCCTCATCCAGACGGCCACTTGGAAGCATGGCTGAAATCTACCCTTGGGGTGACGGGGATGACTCAGAAAACTGTGTGTTTTATTTGTAATCTCTGCGAAGCAATGCTGGGGTCATGTCCTCGCTTTGGTCAGAGCCCGCATGGCTCTCGTGTCTTCTGAGGCAGGACCTCTGAGCAGCTTTGGCATAAATGTAACTTCCTCGCTTCTCAGTAGGTTCATAGCGGGCTCTTGTTTGCATGACTGGAGAAGAATCCTCCTGGAGTCAGGCTGGTGTTCTTGGCAGAGAAAAGAGGATTTACCAAGAAAATACAAGCGTAAACCAGATTGTGTGTGTGTGTGTGTGTGTGTGTGTGTGTGTATTGGAGGGGTTGGCAAAGGTAAAATTCCTCTAGGAGTTGTGGACAATTAGGGTTTGTTCTCTTCTTGGACCTGCCTTTATGCTAACATTCCCGAGTCTAGACTGATGTAGTTGATTCTCCGGGGTCACTCTTCCCCTCGGCTTGATGTTTGGTTCAAAACTGGTTGGTGGGTCTGGCAGTTCCTGAAAGAGTTAAATCTAGAGTTACCAAACTCTACCAAACAACCAAGCAATCCCACGCCTAGGTGTATATACTCAAGGGAACTGGAAACAAATGTTCGCACAAAAACTTGGACACAAATGTTGACAGCAGCACTATTCATAGCAGACAAAAGGTGGGGACAACCCCATGTCCCTCAACTGACCAATGGAGAAACAAAATGTGGGGGCTCCTGGGTGGCTCAGTCCTTAAGTGTCTGCTTTCAGCTCAGGTCACTGTCCCAGGGTCCTGGGATCAAGCCCTGCATCAGGGTCCGTGCTCAGCGGGAAGCCTGCTTCTCCCTCTCCCACTTCCCCTGCTTATGTTTCCTCTCTCGCTGTGTCTCTCTCTGCCAAATAAATGAATAAATCTTAAAAAGCAAAATGAAACAAAACGTGGTATCTCCATATGATGGAATGTTAGCCACAAGAAGGAAAGAATCCTCATAATATGCTGTAGTTCGGATGACTCTTGGAAATGTTATGCTAAGGGAAGGAAGCCAGACACAAAAGGTAGGGAGCAGGTGAAACTATAGAGACAGAAAGATGAGTTCTTGCCAGCGGCTGGAGGGAGAAGGGCATGGGGAGTTATTGCTAGTGGATAAGAGGTTATTTGGGGGAGTGAGGAACATATTCTGGGATTAGATTGTGGTGATGGTTGCACAACTTTATGAATGTACTAGAAACTGCTGGACTGTGTACTTTAAACTAGTGGAAAAAAGAGTGTCTCAATTTATAAAAATAGATGTTAGGAGGCCTGCCCTGTTTTTAAACCTTTATTATTTCTACCAAAATGACATATTTAGTTAAAAATTTTCAGGCAATTAAAAAAAAAAAAAGAAAAAGAAAAAGTCTCAAAGAGGAAAGTAAAAATATCACCTAGTGACCTCTATTAGCATTTTGGTTTGAAACTCAGTTCCAGTCAGAGTGTTGAGGGTTGAACTTGGACAAATTATTAAACTGGTTTCTAAGATGGGGACAGAAATCCACAGCTGCTGGGTACAGAGGTACAGATAAAAACACAATGAATGCTAGCCGACAGAGTCATCACGTTTCTGTGCACAGTGGGTTAGGCTTTTTTTTTTTTTTTTTGAAGATTTTCTTTATTTATTTGACGGAGAGAGCATGAACAGTGGGAGAAGCAGAGGGAGAGGGAGAAGCTGATTCCCCACCAAGCAGGGAGTTCGATGTGGGGCTTGATTCTGGGACTCCAGGATCATGACCTGAGGAGAAAGCAGACGCTTAACCGACTGAGCCACCCAGGTGCGCCTCGTGGGATGAGGCTTACATGCTGTTAGTAGACTTTTTCGTAGACACCTTTTCCCGGCGCTGAGACTTGATGCTTTTAGAGTGGTTTTAGGTTCACAGCAAAGCAGAGGGGAGGGCACCGCCATTTCCTGGGCGCCCCCGCCCCCGCACAGCCCCACCTTCTCCCGATGGCAGCCTCACTCATTGATGAACCTCCGAGGACAGAGTCATCTGAAGACCGTAGTTTTCATCGGGGTTCACGGTTGGCTTCGTACGTTCTATGGGTGTGGGGTTGTCATGGACAAAATTTTCATGTAAAAAAATCACCCATTCTGAAAATGGACGGCTCCAGGATATTCCATCGTGGGGGTGTATAATAGAGTCGTCTGCCATGCATGGAGGTTCGATTGGCTGAGGCATCTCCCACTGATCGAGGCTATTCGAATGGCAGGCACTACTGTTAGCTTGGAGCGTAGGGACTCAACGTCATCCATAGCCCACGTGCTTTTTGACCGCCTTTAGGGTGTGTAGCTGGAACGCAGGTCTGTGGCTTAAGCCCACGGATTCGGTGTCCCCAGAGTAGTTGTGACCTCGCAGAGTCTAACTGTCCTCAGGGCCAGGCATGACTTGACACTGGAAGAGCCAATGGAGCGTTGGTGTGTCCTAGAGCCTTGGGCAGGGGAGGCTGCTGAGGAGGAGGGGTGGAATGGGCTGGAGAGCTGCCAGCCCCCATCTTCCAAGTGGGGTGCCAGAGGCCAGTAGGGGAGAGGGACAGATTCCAGGAGAGGCCTCAGGCAGCCTGGAGTGTAAAAGCCCTTCCCCTCCCCTGGCCTAGCTATGGCAGCCCCTCAGGGGCCTGGCTCTGCCCTCAGGCCCCAGGCCCTCCACTGGGAGTCTGGAGAAGCAGTCTGCTTTCATGGAGGGGTTATCTAGGCCAAGGTAGCCCTTTGGGGAAGCCAGCTGATGACCCTTGAGGGCTGAGGGAGCAGGGGTTCAAGTCCTTTGGCCAACCCACTGTCCATCAGGCCTAGGCTTGGGTCCTTGGGCTTTCCTTTCTGGGTGCTCACAGCCTGGATATAGGCTTGAGGATGGCCCTGGCAGCGTAACATGTGTGTGGTGGGACCTGTCACCTGCCCTCCTGGCCTCCCCACCTTGTTCCCCAAACTTCTACCCCCTCCCTTCTTGCCCCTGGACTTTGTGGGCTAAGCTTTGCCTTCGGTGGTGAAGGCCCCTGGCTCCACTGTTTTTCAGGGCTCCTCCTTGAGCTGTCCTGGGTGGTCTGGTGTGACCTGACCCAGGATGGACCCCATCTCCCCAGCGTGCTGTGTATCATCTCTAGTGCCCGTGTCCAGCCAGCTTGGAAACCGAGTTCTCTGTGTTCTCCCCAACCTCCTTTCAGGCTGCTGGCCCCAAGAGCAGGCTGGCACGGAGGGGGCTGTGTTGGAGGGGGCTGGTGGTGCAGCTCTTCCTTAGCCCTCCTCATTCACAGGCTCTGCTCAGCTCCTGGGATCCTCTACTGACCTCTGGCTGGGTCCCTGGGCTCTCTTGGGTCCCCGCCCCAGGAAGTATTCTCATTCTGGCCCAGTTGGCAGATTCAGCCTGATGAACACTCAGGGGACCAGCTCTGGATGACCTTTTTGAAGGCCTGGAGCAGTGAAAATGGCACTGCCTGCTGGAGACTTGTCTTGGTCATGGCGCTGCTGAGGACTCAGTTTTCTCATCTGTAAAATGGGTGGAATGTACAATGTCTCAGTGCACTGGGGACCATTTAGCCAAGGAGAAACAGAGTTAAATCTCTTCTAATTTCCTGTGCCAAATCCCCCTCCCCCATGCCCAGGTTCTCTCTCCCCCAGGGGAGAAAGGAAGCAGCAGGCATTTGAATACCAATTAGAGCAATGCCTAGAGGTCCATAAGCTGCCTCTCTAAGTGTGGGAAGATCTGGGGGCCATCTTGCTGGGGTCACCATGTCCTGGAAACTTGGGTGTGCAAGGCTATCTTAGGGCATCACCTCCCATTACAGGGGGTAAATGGGGGCCCAGAGAAGGGAGGGATTTTGTCCCAGGCCACACAGATGATGCAAAACAGAGTAGTGGCCTTCCCCTTTCCTGTAGTGCTGCCTGAGAGGATCCCAGATGACCTGGAACACGCTTCCGCATTGAGCCTTCGAGCAGCTTGCTGTCTGTCCTTCAAGGTTGACCTTCAAGGTTGAGTTCAATTTCTGGGGCGCCTGGGTGGCTCATTTGGTTAAGTGTCTGCCTTTGGCTCGGGTCATAATCCCGGACTCCTGGGATCGAGCCCCGAGGTGGTCTCCCTGCTCAGCAAGGGGTCTGCTTATCCCTTTCCCTCTCTGCTCTCTCCCTCTCTTTTCTCTCCGTTGTTTTCTTTCTCTCTCTTGTTCTCTGTCAAATAAATAAATAAAATCTTAAAAAAAAAAAAAAGAAATGTTGGGGTGCCTGGGTGGCTCAGTGGGTTAAGCTTCTGCCTTCGGCTCAGGTCATGATCTGGGGGTCCTGGGATCAAGCCCCACGCTGGGCTCTATGCCTGTGGGGAGCCTGCTTCCCCTCCTCTCTGCTTGCTTCTCTGCCTACTTGTGATCCGTCTGTCTCTGTCAGATGAATAAATAAAATCTGTAAAAAAATTAAAAAAAATGTTTAAGCTCAATTTCTTATTTCCTTGCCTTCCCCCCTCCACATCCCACCCCCCACAGCCTTGAACTTCCCCTCCCTGAAGCCCACAGCAGCTGTTGGCTTCTCTTGCTGCTTTCTGCTGCTGCTTCTTTTTAAGATTTTATTTATTTATTTGACAGAGAGAGAGAGAGCACGCGCTCCTAAGCAGGGGGAGCAACAGGCAGAGGAAGAGGGAGAAACAGGCTTCCAGGCTGAGCAGGGAGCCCAGTGTAGGGCTCCATCCCAGGACCCCAGGATCATGACCTGAGCCAAAGGCAGACACTTCACCGACTGAGCCACTCAGGTGCCTCCCCTTGCTGCTTTCTGTGCAGGGGAGACTTTCTTTCCTTAGCATTGCTCTCCAGCAGAGAGCAATCCCTGCCTCTCCGTGGAGCCTGGCACAGGCTGGGAGGAGGTTTGATGGCTGGTTGCCCTTGAGCTGTCCTCTCCCCACAGGATGCTCTCAGCATCTCAGCCCCTCCGACAGCTGGGCTCCCACCCTAGCGAGCCCTGAGGCCTGTACCACGACTGCCCTTCTCTGGGGCTAAGCTGGGCTGGGGACAGGGCCCCTAGCTGCAGCCCCAAGCTGGCCCCTCTGCCCTCCCTGGAGGCAGAGTCTGGAACACTCTGCCTGGATGACCCAGGCCCTCAGGAGGCTGAGCCCCCTGGGCAGCGCCCCAGGCTGGCTAGGAGAGCCCCGGCAAACTGCTATCTCTTTCCTTTGGGCTTGGCGGTTCAGTGTCTAGTGACCCAGCCCAATGCTGTCCTCTGCCTCAGATATCCTCCAGTGTCCAATTCGGTGCCAGGCAATGGTCCTTGAATTTTTGCTTCTTAGGGGTTCAACCAAAGTTGGTTCTCAGTTTGCCAGGAACTGGTCAGGCTGCCCCAGTCCCTGTGTGAGTGTGAGCCTGGGGCACCCTTGGCCTGCAGATCTGGCTTCTGCCCTCTGCAGATGCTCTCACGGGTGACTGCTCCCCTGTCATGGGCATCAGGCAGGACTCTGTACCCCACGCCCTCTGACTGGAGCCTCCACGGTCAGCGCATGTCCCCTACCCTCTTTCTTACCGCAGATGTCTCCTCCTGTCTCCTTTCCTGGGGGATGTGGCTCAGCCAGCCGTCTTGGTGCACACCTGCTGTCCCAGGAGCGCTCAGGGGAATGACCTGCCCACTGCAGGCCCCTTTTCCCCACCCTCCTGTCCTGACCTCCATCGTACCACATCCTGTTTTGTGGGTTGATGGGCATAACCTGCTAATTGATCTACTTCGACTTGGGGCTCAAGGTGGTGGCCTGTGAGCCGGGCAGAGTCTGTCATCTGCCCGTGTGGCACTTAGAGAAGTGTGGTCAGTTTCCTTACCGTGCCTGCCAGTTCCCTCTTGTTATTCTGCGTCTGCCCTCATCGGACTCACCCACCTGGACCCACGAAGTCTGCAAGTCCTGCCTTTATAAGGGCAAAACAAATGCACAACGATTTGTTTAATGTGTGCAAAAAGGAATATTGTAGGTGCGCAGAGCATCTCTGGAGGGATTCGTGGACACTCGGTAATTGCGGATTCCGCTGAGAAGGGGACAGGTGGAATGGGACGGAATTAGGGTACACCTATTCCTTTGGAATTTAACCCACATGTTACAAAATTGGAATTTTGTTAATAGACAGTTATATAATTTAAAAAGTTCAAGTCATGGGGCACCTGGCTGGCTCGGTCAGTAGAGCAGGTGACTCTTGACCTTGGGGTTGTGGGTTCAAGCCCCAAGTTGGGTGTAGAGTTTACAAAAAAATAAAAATAAGGAATAAATTAAAAGATCAAGTCTTGGCATTTGAGGCCTTCTTGCTGTGCGCCCCCCAAGCCTTTGAGCCCCCTGACTCTGATGTGATCTCTCCTCCTATCCCAGCAGTGCCTGGTTCGAGATGGGTTCCCAGGTGTCTGTGGACATGGGAGCCGTGCGTGTGGTGATCGTGGGTGGGGGCTTTGGTGGGATTGCTGCTGCCAGCCAGCTGCAGACTCTGAACATCCCCTTCGTGCTGGTGGACATGAAGGACTCCTTCCACCACAACGTGGCAGCCCTGCGGGCCTCCGTGGAAAGTGGTAATGGACTCTTTTCTGGGGCTTTCTTTGTCAGAGTGGTCTTGTCACCACTGTGGGTTTAGGGGTGGTTTTGCCACTTAGGGCAAGGCCTAAATTCCACTTTTAGAGAAATTCTGGAGATTCTTGAGGTCCCTGGCCTTAAGCAGCTATCATATCAAGGCTGTAGAAGTAGGAGCTGCAGCTTCCCCGAGGACCCGGCCCTCGTGGCTCAGGGGCCTCGAGGCCTAGGTGGCTGTTTCCGGCGGGGGGTTGGGGGCGGGGGTTCCCCGAATACCACTGGCTCAGCTCTTTGGCCAAGGACACCCCTTAGGAAAGGTTTTGAGTGCTTCTGGCTTCCCGTGGGCAGCCCAGTTTCACTCTCTGACCTCCTCTGTGCCCATTCCCCAGGGTTTGCCAAAAAGACATTCATCTCCTACTCCGTGACCTTTAAGAAGAACTTCCGGCAGGGGCTGGTGGTGGAGATAGACCTGCAGAATCAGACAGTGCTGCTCGAGGACGGCGAGGTAAGCACGGTGGGGGCCGACCCGACCCCTCTGCTGGCTTCAGGGGGTCCCCAGGGCTCCGCAGCTGCCGCTTGAAGGGGATCCAGGTGGTCTCAAGGCTGGAGAGCCCTCGATGGCCCCTATGTGGTGCCGGCCAGGTAGCAGATTCCTCATAAGCGAAGGCCTGGCCCCAACAGACTTTCCCCGAGCCATTCCTGTATGCCCGGTACTGTCTTAAGCCTTATGTGGTCTCATTTTGTGCCCACCATGACTCCATAGGGAGTGGTGTAGCTTCTCTTTATGAAGAGGGTAAGTGGCCCAGGATCCCACAGCTGGTAAGACACTTGGCCAGGATATGAACCCAGGCAGTTCCACCCCAGAGTCTACACTGAAAGCTGGTGTCCCAGACCAGGTCCTGGTTCGGCTGGCCTGTGGGGCCATCCTGGCTGTGTGGGATCAAAGGGCAGGTGGACACATGATACCACATCCCCCGGATTGGGAGGCCCTCACTCATCCCTGCATTCCCAAGCCCTGGGAAGAGCCTGGAGCCTGGTGTGGCCCTGCAGTGATGGAGACAATAGGGGAGCTGCCATATGTTGTGGGAAGGGCCACCTCCAGCCTGGCCTTAGGGGCACCAATTTCTGTCCTCGGTGACTTTGTGCGAATCAGTCTTCCTTGAATTTATTCCCGGCAGGACGCGCAGCTGTTCCCTTCGGTATTGGCCGGGTTCTAGTGCTTCTTCTTGGCCTGCTCAGTGTGATGGTTTCACTCCTTTCAGAGGAGGGCGGCCGCAGTGTGCCCAGGCCTCTCCCGCCCGATGCTCCTTGCCCGGTGGGACCGATCATGGGCAGAAGCCCGGGCCTGCCCTCACCTCCTTTCTCCACCCCCTCACCCCCCCCCCGCTCCAGGCCCTGCCCTTCTCACATCTTATCCTGGCCACTGGCAGCACCGGGCTCTTTCCAGGCAAGTTTAACAAGGTTTCCAGCCGGGAGGCTGCTATCCAGGCCTACGAGGACATGGTGAAGCAGGTGAGCTACCTGTGGGGCCAGGTGGGGCTGTGAGGGTCAGGCAGGGCCCTGGGGGAGGGGAACCACTGTGGGGATGCATGGGGCAGCAGCAAAGAGCCCCCGGGTGCAGCTGTGAAGATGGAGAGTTAGTGAGAAGATCCCAGACTCCCTGGCAGAGACCTTTGTCCCTCACCGAAGTCCGGATAGGAGTACCCTCGACCTCATGTAGTGGCTGGTGTATCCCTGCCATGTCTCCCTTGGGGTCCCGTTTGCAAGGCTTTGTATTTTACAGAGCAGGTGTGGGTCCGTGACCTCAGGTGGTTTTCCCTGAGGGGTGGGCAGGGTCTGGCCTGGCTGAAAGACAAGGGACAGAGCCCCACAGAAGGATCCCAAGGCGAGTGCGACTGTGTGACTGTGGCTGGGTCCTGCCCTCCCTGCCACGCTTCTTAGATGCCTAGGGAGCCTCTCTTGGCCCATCATAAACAGATGTGGATGTGGAGGTTAGGGTCCTGGCCGTGAGCTCAGACAGACCTGGGTCGTGGTCCTCTGGATGGTGGGTGGGGGTGCTGCCTGCCTCGTGGGGCCAAGCAAGAACCATGCGAGGACATGCGGGGAGACACCCGGCACGACCCGGCTCCGAGGAAGCACGTTTGGACCCCAAATTTGGACTCTTCTTTGGTCAGGGAGCCGCCAGCCTGGCCGAGCCCCTGGGCAGGCTGGGTCTGAGGGCGTGTTTCCTGCTTTCTTCCCCTCCAGGTCCAGCGCTCCCAGTCGGTGGTTGTGGTGGGAGGCGGTTCTGCCGGAGTGGAAATGGCAGCCGAGGTTAAAACCGAATTCCCCGAGAAAAACGTAGGCATGCGGCCTTGCCTTTGGGCTCTCTGCATGGCGTGCAAGGAGCTGGGGGACTGACTCGGGGCCTGGGCCGTGGCACTCCACGACCCCAGGCCCCGCCCTCTGCAGTGGGGTGTCCCCTGATGTCCTGTTCTGCTGGCAGTGCGTCCTGGGGAGCCAGGGCATGTCCTCCTTCAGGGAGGGGGCCTGTGAGCCAGTCCAGCCAAGGTCAGTGAGCCTAGCAGACTGTGAGCTCTCATGTCCCCTGCTGTGTTCAGCCTCTTGAGACATAAATGTAGACTTTGATTCCCTCTCTTTGGTGGCAGCTGGCCTGCTCAGAGACACCCGAGGGCGGCGTTTTGTCTGGGGCAAGCAGCAGCTGGTCTTCAAGTGACGAAAGCCTTTGCCCTGAGTAGCTGCACGGGGGTCCCTGCCATGCTGTCCTTTCACTCCCCGTGCTGGGGAAGGAGTGGCCAGCGCCCCTGGCAGGAATGCCCTTTAAAATGATGGGGGGCGGCAGGAGGACCTGCCTGGAACCCTGGAAAGAAAGACCCACAGGATGTAGAGGCTCGGCCCAGGGCCCAGTGACGTGCGGTCGTTACAGGTCCTTGAGGCAACAGCTTGCTCAGCTGACGCCAGCCCGGCTTCTCAGAGCCACGTGGCTGCTGCTTCCTCCCAAGGGAAAGGCAGGTTGGCTTTGAAAAGATCCATATGGGCTGATTGAATTATGTAGCTGTTCTCTGACAAATTATTGGACCTTATTATGAGTGATTGATGTGAAAGGGTTTTAATTTTGATTTATGGGGTAAAGACGAGGCTGAAGTAGTCATCACTCGTCAGGGGGCGGATACAAGTAACAGTACCCACCCCTTTATTCAGGACTCAGTGCGTACTGAGTTACGTGCTTACCACAGGGTTTCTCGGTCCGTCGTCACAATTTCCTGAGGGTGGGCCTGGATCCCTGTTTGACGGACTCTTCGGGAGGCATCCGAGTGAGCGTCTGAGATGAGGCTTCCACTCAGGCCATCTGGTTTTATTTTTATTTATTTATTTATTTTTCTTAAAGATTATTTATTTATTTATTTGACAGAGATCACAAGTAGGCAGAGAGGCAGGTGGGGCGGGGGGGGAGCAGGCTCCCTGCTGAGCAGAGAGCCCGATGTGTGGCTCGATCCCAGGACCCTGGGACCATGACTTAAGCTGAAGGCAGAGGCCTTAACCCACTGAGCCACCCAGGCGCCCCGGCCACCTAGTTTTAAAGCCCGAGCTTCGAGCACCGTCCCAGGCTGCCCCTGCCTCCCCAGGCTGGCCCGCAGCGAGTAGCCGCGCCTGGAAGGGTGGGCGTCGGGCCTGGCTGTAGTGTAAATGCTGGCCTGCCTGACAGCCAGGGTGTGCATGGCTTACACGTAGGCTGTAAATAATTTCCCCGTGGCCCTGAGGTGGGTGGGGGTGGGGAATAGAGCCCTGGCGCCTTCTGGAAGAGTCAGACTAGATGTGGGCTCGCGCCCAGCCGCCTTCCCTGGTTCCAGCCTCAGGCAGTTGACTTCTCTGCGGGTGCCGAGGTGGGGAGGGAGACAGGCTGGTGTGGACGTTGGTAAGCCTCTTCCTGCGAGCCTGAGACTCAGGGGCTCCTTCTCCACCCCGTGGTCTCCTGTCCAGGTCACTCTCATCCATGCCCAGGTGGCCCTTGCCGACAAGGAGCTCTTGCCCTGTGTTCGGCAGGAAGCGAAGGAGATCCTGCTGCAGAAAGGCGTTCAGCTGCTGCTGAGTACGTGCGAGGCCCCCTCCTGCTCGCCCTCTCCCCCGCCCACCGCCCCAGCTCCACGGCCCCCCCGTCCCGGGGTTGGGCATTTGAGCCTTGCTGGCCTGCTGTGGGCTGTGTCTGCCCAGAGGACTGGGCAGAGGCCCCGGTGCTCACGGGACTCCTGGGCCACAGGGGTAGCCCCGGCCTGGCTTCTCCAGGATTTGACCTGAATTATGGTGTCTCTGTGGTACAATGTGTGTGTGTTTTGTTTTGTTTTTTTTTTTTTTGGCGCGTGTTTTTCTTTGGTTTATATTCAGGAGGTGGTGAGGAGTGTGAGCTTTGTCGAGGCCAGGAGGAGGGGGAGAGCACCAAACAGCTTGTTTAGAGACTGGGGCCCTGACCCTGGCACGGTGACTGGCGTACTTCATGGGGTTCAGCCTCTGTGCGTTCCGCAGGGAGGGGTGATGTTTCTGCTCTGGGCAGACCCCGCCCAGCTCCTGGTCTCCTTGCGCTGGGCTGCCCACTAGTGTCACCACCTTTCCTCTGAGGCAGCGTAGAGTGTAGGCGAGCTTCTGGACTTTTCTCTTCTTCCTTTTTTCTTTTTAAAGATTGTATGTATGTATGTATGTATGTATGTATTTATTTATTTGTCAGAGAGAGAGAGAGGGAGAGCGAGAGGGAGAGCACGAGCAGGCAGTGGCAGGCAGAGACAGAGAGAAGCAGGCTCCCTGCTGAGGAAGGAGCCCAATGCGGGACTTGATCCCAGGATTCTGGGATCGTGACCTGAGTCTAAGGCAGCGGCTTAACCGGCTGAGCCACCTCTTGGTCCCTCTTCAGGACTTTCTTGCTCACACCTTAGTCGGTGGTGCACCTGGAGCGCCTCCCTGCCTGGTGAGGATGGCGTGGCTGGCTGACGTTCCCGGAGGCGTGCTTGAGGTCTTCCTCCAACAGCTTTTCCCAGAACTTCTTGGGAAATTCAGCCTCACTTTCCCACACTGCTTTTGGGAACTTTCCTGCCTTTGGATCCTCCGGGGTGGCCGGATGTCCACCTTGTGCCTCTTGGGGGCAGCAGGGTGGACTGGCAGAGGGGCTTGCAGGAAGGTGGGAGCCAAAGGATCTCTTAGGTGGGCCCCAGCCTTGATGCCGTTGCCCACCCCCTGCCGGCCTCCCGCTCACGGATCCCACTTGACAGGTGAGCGCGTGAGCAACCTGGAGGATTTGCCTCTGAACGAGTATCGGGATTGCATCCAGGTGCGCACGGACAAAGGCACAGAGGTGGCCACCAACTTGGTGATCGTCTGCAACGGTATTAAGATCAACAGCTCGGCCTACCACAGTGCGTTCGGTAAGCAGGAGCTGGGCCCACTGCCTGGGCCACCGCCCCACTGTCCGGCATGGCAGGCCCTGCAGGCCTCTCCCCCAGGCATCAGTGTCGCCCCGCCTCCCTTCCCCTCCCCCCTCCCCAGCAGCTCAGGTCTCTTCTGAATGGTGACATCAAACTTTAAATTCAGGCTTGGGTCCACTCTCCCGGTGCCTTCCTCCACTATGGCCGTGACTTAGGCCAAAATGGCGAAGGTGACCCATCTTTCAAAGTCGGAGCCCACTCCCTCGTGGTGAGAGCGGGGAACAGGTTTCAGGGGGAAGGAAAGATCCACCGTTTCATTTTCTGTGAACATGGAGGGGAGGCAATTCCTGGGTCAGGCCTTTGCCTATTTATTCACAGGTGTGCTGTTCTCTCCAGACCCTGATCCAAACGTGGAATGACATTCTTGGGAATAGAGGAAATAATGCAGCCTCAGGCTCAGTAGTGAACTCCCCGGCTAACTGGAGGCTGGGGGAGGTGGAGTCCCGGCCTTCGTGTGTGAGCTGGAGACTCTGTGACTCTTCTTTGAGCCCCAGGATTGCCGTGTCCCCAGGCTGCTCCCATTGACTTCGTAGCACCCTTCCTGGACAGGGAGGTCCTGTTTGGGTCCTGTGGGAAAGAACTGGCCAGTCCCAGCAGAAGGAAACAACTGGTCCAGGCCACGTGTGGGGTGGAGGATTGAGGGCCTGTAATGGACAGAGATCCCAGCATTTGACACCCATTTGTCTTAATGCCATATTTTCAAAAGTAATTCTTTTAGGTCCCTTAAAAAGAAAAGTTTATCATTTACTAGAGTTCTGCATTTACTTAAAAAGTCTGGTCCATGTTCAAGGGGAAATTTAAGACTTGGCTGAGCTGCCACGTTGTCATTGTGAGTCACTGTCGGTCGTGGTAATTTACAGTCACACAGGTTGTGTAAAACGGCAGGTGCTGTCTTTCTGACCAGTTTCCCTCCTGGAATGGTAACCTTGACTTTGCAAGAAGAGTTCTGAGATGGGTCTTGAGGCAAACTAAATCGAGGATGTGCCTTTGGAGGGGGGCTTAGCTGGCACCAGAGGGCCCTCTTCTTGGTGTTCTAGTGGCCACATAACAGGGTTTCCGGGTTACCTTTGCCCGGCAGAGAGTCACCTGGCCAGCAACGGCGCTCTGCGAGTGAACGAGCATCTCCAGGTGGAAGGCTGCAGCCGCATCTATGCCATTGGCGACTGTGCCGATGTGAAGGAGCCCAAGATGGCGTATCATGCCGGCCTCCATGCCAGCGTGGCTGTGGCCAACATTGTCAGCTCCATGAAACAGAGGCCCCTTAAGGCCTACAAGCCAGGTAAGGAAGCTGCGTGTACCTCAGAGACTCATCCATCTTCCTAAAAGTCTTATACAGTTCCTAGTCCTCAGATGGGAGGCCCCAGGAACTGCAGGCCCATGGATGGTGAGCGGGGGTCTGGTTTACCCACCCGTGTCTGCTCCACAGGGGCACTGACGTTCCTTTTGGCCATGGGGAGAAACGATGGTGTGGGCCAGATCAGTGGCTTCTACGTGGGGCGACTCATGGTTCGGCTGGCCAAGAGCCGGGACCTGTTCGTCTCCTCCAGCTGGAAGACCATGCGGCAGTCTCCACCTTGAGCCGGAGCAGGGTGGGAGATGAGGTACTGCTGGGGTTGGGGGTGGGGGATGGGGGACAGATTGCTCGCTAAGTGCTATCCACTTGACGAATGCCGAAGGGTAGACGCCCTTTTCCTGGAGTGAGATGCTGGGGATGTACTGATCGGACACAGCTTACAGAAAGCCAAAACTGGGAGAGGGAGCAAGTGAGCCATTGGAAAAAAGACACCCTCTAGAGGATTCTTTCTGGGTTTGGAGAGGTCTGCTTGCCTTTGTGCTGGCTGAGGGGTTCACTTGGTCCTGGCGAGAGGTATAGCTGGCTTTCTCTTCCCCAGGCTCCTTGCATGGGCACATGTGTTGGGACTCAGGGCTCTTAGAGCAGGAGAGAGCAGGGTCTCCTGGTGGCTGGCATCCTGTCTGTTAGGGCAGGAAGAGGAGCCTGCATGGTGACACCAGCTATGGAAGGAGAGCTGGGGTAGACATAGCCTGCACCCCAAGCCTCTGCCGTCGCATCCTGGGTGGGGAAGCCGGTGCATTCTGCGATACCCAGGTTGTTAAGAGGAGCCTAATTTCAAACTATTAGTCCCTGTGGTCTTTCATTTTCACAAAACTTTCTATATTTCCTTTTCTAAGTTCTGATTATACACCTTAGGTTACATTTAAGAAGAAAAAATTAGATAAACTGCCCTCCCGTTTAGTCCATCCTAACGGAGAGTGAGTTCTTAACCAAGCTAGTGGGTTGAGACCGAAGCCTGGCGGGCCAGCCGCTAGAGACGTTAAGGAGAAGCAGCTGAGCTAACGGGACCCTTGGGTGGGCTGCCGTTGGGCTCACATTCAGGGAGCAGAGTGGGACTTGCAGGTGAACCCCTGTGTGCTTCTAGGCTACTGTCTCAGTGGATTCTGTAGGGGACAAAACTCCTGCTGATGCTGGGGCAGGGGACCCTGTGGGAACCTCTGGGGTTCTGTACTTCTGGTTTCCTGGCTAACCCCAGTGACACTTGTGGGGGTCCTGCCTGCCACTGGCTGTGTTAAGGTACATAAATGACTCCTGTGTCGGGGAGAGGACTTCAATTAGAGGGAGTCTCTTCTGGAAGACAGAGGTTAAATCCCCAGAGTGGAAGTGGTTGCTGATTTCATCTGCATAAATGCAGGCCCTGCTCATTTTTGATGGTGGCTTCTGGGTCCTTGGCCAGAGTCCTGAGGACACAGCCTATGGGGGTTCTCAGTCCTCCCTGCCTGGGCTGTGACCCAGGTCAGTTCCATTTGTTCTCTAGGCCTACGTGAGACCTGTGCCTCTCTCCCGTAGGATGGCTGCCCACCGGAGGCTTCGCCTAGGACTACCTTCCTGTGGACCAAGGCCAAGCAGGCTCCTCTTGCCCAGACCAGTCCGTGCTGTCTGCCCTGGGGTCTGGCAGGGTGGGCGTCTCAGCCTGTGCGTGACAGGCTTGTTCTATTTATAACATTTTACAAGTGTCCACCCATGGGGACACAGTTTTCTAAACTGAGGAAAATGTTGCAATAAAAGATTATGTTGTAAGAAAGACACTGGATCTTCTTTTTTTTTTTTTTTCCTTTCATTTTCTTTTTCTTTAAAAACAAAATAAAACAAAAGCCTGAAGCAAAATCTTTTTAGGAGTAGATACAGATGTCATGGGGGGAGGGGAGGGGGCACTAAAAACAGAAAAGGAAAGCACCAGTGAGACGCCTTTCTCATGTTCTTCTCTCTGCCCCCAAAAACAGACAGCCGACAAAGCCCAAGTCACTTTTATGCCCTCTTCCCTTGCAAAAAGGAGAAACAAGGTTTTAAGAATTTTGAAAGGATTTTTTTTGTGTGTGTGTGTAAAAGTCAATGCTATAAATCTAAAACGAAGTCTGTCTTTTAAAAAAGTTCTAAAACAACAGGAAGGAAACACATGGAAAGAAACCCCTCGTGGAGACCTGGTTGATTACAGATGGAGGCTCTTTGAAACGAGAATAGAAAAGGCAGAGGGCTTGTTCCGTGGGCAGGCCCCGCTCTGGCAGCCCCCGTGACCCGCTGCCCTCCGCTCCCCTGCCGTCACCCTTCCTCTCTCCTCTTAAAAAAGAAACCCCTCTCCTGTGACTTGGATCCTCCTCCGATTCCTGTGGGCCACCGTGGCTGGGCGGGGGGCATCTACTTGGCGTCGAGCTTGGCCATCTCTTGCACGTAGATGCCGATGCTCTCGCTGTCAAAGAGCAGGAAGTAGACATTCTTCAGCGAGGACGAGCTCGAGTCGTCAAAGTGGGCTGAGATGGCTTTGAGGGTCACCTGGGCGGCCATCTGTTTGGGGAAGCAGTTTCTGTGTTGGAGGGAAAGAAGAGCTGATGTCACTTTGGTTCCCAGGACCCACGGGGTAACTTGACCCTCAGCCCGGGGCCAGGGGCAGCGTGGTGCCTTCTTATCTTGGCACCAAGCCTTTTGGTTTCTGTCTCATGGGGTCTTCCTGTGTGCTGGCGGGGCCACGGACCACCTCCTTTGAGCCGAGGCAGAGGGGCAGCCTGGGACGGGACAGGCGGGTCCTCCTCTATGGGAGTCACACTGGCTGGGACAGGTCTGGTGGGCTCAGCCCGAGTCACAGGGACATAGGAATCCATGTCCCCTGCCTCCAGTCGAGCCAGGCTTTAAAACCATGACCAGCTCAGCACTGACATAGCTGGTGTTCTAGAATGCACAGCTAGTTTTTCTGAGCGCCCTTGAAACTGCTGCATGGTGTCAGGTCGTTGGTGAGAGGGGAAAATGTATGCTCACTGGTCCTCTCACGGGCCCCCTAGGGACATGCCACGGGCCCCCTACGGACGTGCCGCTGTAATCTGAGTGTGGGGGCCTCCAAGCACCCAGCGGAGATGTGGCTGTCCGCCGGGCTGGGCCATGGCAGCAGCCTCTGGGGACACAGCCATCGTAGTCGTCTGGGGTTGGCCACCAAGCCCCCTTGGGCCGGGATGGGATGAGCCCGCTGGACAGGAATTCTCATTTGCTTTTGGTGTCCCAGCCCAGAACATCACAACTTGTGGGCCCGGCTGCACAAAGACTTTAGCCCGCTGTGCCTCTGGGCCAGGCTATGGAGACCTCATGCTGCTGGCTCAGTCTGGGGTGGGATGATAGCAGGAAGCAAGGCCTCACCATTCCCCTCAGAGCCTTCCCCTCAGAGAACATCTTGGGTATATAAATCCTATCCATGTTACAGAGGGGCATCTTGTGAGAGAGAGCATGTTCAAAACAGAAGCAATAGCTCGCTTTGACTTCGAGGGTGATGGGAGAGGACAGGCCACCTGTGAGGACAGACAGCCTCATTCCCTACCTGCTGCGGCTCTTGCACTCAGCTGCATCCGTGACAGTTAGAACCAGCTCTTATAACTCCCAAAGCAGACCTTTGGTGGGAGCCTGTCCCTTCTCTGGGAGTGTCTGTGAGGGCCGCAGCCTCAGGCTGTCCTCCACCCCAGCAGTTCACAAGCCCCCCCGGCACTCTGAGGTGGTAGTTTTTTGTGGGGCTGGGGTCCGAGACTCTGCACTCAAACACTCTAACACAGCAGAGTCAGCGCGGCCCGGCCACGGGCAACACTTGGAATAGCAAGACATTTGAGCCTGGTGTTCTTTTAAGGAGGCTCCTTGACCAGCAGAGCCCAAGGCGAAGATTGAGCTCGTGACTGACCCTGAGATCACGGCCTGAGCGGAGATCAAGGGTCGGACGCCTAACCAGCTGAGCCCAGAGCCTGGGGTTTTCCGATCACGTGTTCTGACGGGGCAGCCGCTGCGGGTGCGGGCCTTGACCATGGAAGCCCGTCAGAGAAGCTCCGCTCCCAGCTCCTCTCCAGCTGCTCCTCTCCCTTCACACTGCTTCCGAGGCTGGAAACTGGGTTTCTGGCCCCATGACCAGGTCAGCGCACTTGGCTGAGCCGGCAGCCCTCGGTCGTCTCTTCTGGATTGGTCAGACTGGGTGTGACTGTGGGAGAGCCGCAGGCCGCAGTCTGGAAGGGGAGACCCCCGGCCTCCCGCGGCCATCGGAGGAACGCATCTTACCTGCCACTGGGGAACGGTGGGAACGCCACGGACTTGAGCTTCTTGTCCTCGGCTGCCGACAAGCAGTTTTTGATGGTCTCTTCAAGCTGTTCTTCACATTTGTCCGAGCCCCACTGAGGGATGTGACAGTGGATGACAAATTTGGCTGCAAGTCCGCTGGATTGGCTGACAGCGGCTGGGACAGGAGAGAAACACGGCGCGTTATTTCCTATACCTTCCCCTTTAGCCAGGGGCCGAGGCCGGACCTCACGGAAGCCTCTCGGCTGTGCGTGCATGGGGCAGCGAGAGAAGCTGGCTGGGCACCGTTCTGTGCCTCTGACGGGACCGGACAGCTGCCTGAGAGCGGGAGCCCTGTCCAGCCTGCTGTGGGCAGTGGACACCAGCTCCAGAGGAATGCGTCAGCGGCCCTCACGTGCTGCCCCTGGCCGCTAGGGTGGGTGACCTCTTGACCATGGTTCCCAGCAGGAGGTACCCGCCAGCATCATCTCTGACGGCTGAGTGGCCTGACCCCAATGTCCTACATCCAGATCCCTAGAACCTGGGGGCGTTACCTTACATGGCGAAAGGGGCTTTGCAGAGGTGAGTTAGTGAAGACCTGCGGGATGGATTATCTGGGGTTATCGGGGGGGTGCCCTAAATATAATCACCTGGGTCTTCCTAAGCGGGCCAGAGGTGGGTGGGCAGGGAGGTCAAAGGTAGGAGCAGTGATGGGAGGAGAAAGTGACTGGAGCGACGCGGCCAGGAGTCAGGGAGTGGGGCGGAAGTGGGTCTCATCTTGACTGTGGTGTGTTTTACTTGGCACACTGCTTGTGCAAGAAGCAAGTGATGCTGGCGGGGAGGGGGCTGAGGCTGTGCTGGGAACCCGGGCTCGAGGCCACACTCACCTTCAGCAACTTCCAAAGGGCCTTGGGATTTGCGAAGCTCCTTCACCGTTTCCAAGAACTCTTTGCCGCCAGCCTTTTCCAAGGCCTTCCCTGAGGAAGAGAAGAAGGGAAGCCATTGCTGTTGTCCTTTCCAAAGTCATTTGCCACACCGTGTCACATAGTTTCAGTAGGCCAGAAGACAAACACACCCACCACCCTGAGAAAGCAGGAATCACGCTTGCAGTGGGAGTCCTGGTTGCCAGTGGTCACTGCTGGCCGTGGTCTCGGCTTTTGTCCCACAGGACTTAGATTCTAGCAAACTCTCTCTCTCTTTTTTTTTTTTTTTTAAGATTTTACTTCGTATTTCAGAGAGAGCTCGCTCTCCTGCAAGTGGGCAAAAGGGCAGAGGGAGAGGGAGAGAGAGAATCTAAAGCAGACGCCTCGCTGAGTGGGGAGCCCAATGCCAGGCTCCCTCTCCCAACCCTGAGATCATGGCCTGAGTTGAAATCAAGAGTCAGACACTCAGCCGATGGAGCCAACTGGGTGCCCCTCTAGCAAACTCTTTTAAGGGGAGTTTTGAGGGAGTGATGGCGTCATAAGCAGCCTCAGGACACGAAACCTAAAGGTGATTTTTTAAAATGGAAGTATAGTAGACACATGAGGCTACCTGAGTTTCAGGCACATCACACAGTGATGGCACAAGTCTACACATTATGTTGTGTTTCCCACCGTGGGGGCCGCTGCCTGGCACTGTTCGGCGCCCTTATAATACCATTGCCTACGTTACTCCCTATGCTGTAGTAAAGGTGAGCTTTAAAAAAAAATTGGGGTTCCAGTGTTCTGAAGTCTGGGTTCAGTCCCCATGCTGGGTTGGTCAAATTCAATGTCTTGGTGATTTGAAGGCAGTGCTTTCTCACAGAACCTGCAGCCTGCCTCTTGTCACCAGGTCCCAAGGCTGGTCCCAGGCCAGTAGTGACAGATGACTTAGCAGGAACCTTGGGGCGGGGCTGGGGTAGGTGGAGAGTTCTAGGGCCCTACTCCCAGCTCACCACCTATGTGTGGTAAGTCTTGATCAGGTCGTGGTTTTCAATGGAAAAAGGCAGTTTGGAGAGGCTAAACTCTAAGGACCTTCCTGATGGGAGATCCCTTGGCTCTTTGATGTTAGGACAATTCTTGGTATCTCAGAATCATGCTTCCACAGAGGCCAAGAGGAACCCCCAGGAGATGGCAGGATGCCCCTTCTGGCTGGCAGGAACCCTCTGTCAGTACACTGGGGATCCCCAAGTCTCTGAGCTGACATCTGGGCATTGTGTCTACACGAGATGGGGGCTGCCCCCGGGTGTGGGACAAGGCCTATCTCCCCAGGTGCTTTCGGCTTTTGGTGGATTGGGTCATCTGGCTGTCTGGGACAAGTCTTGGCTCTCTCTTCAGTGTTATTATGATGGTGGTTAATACTCAGTTGAGGGGTTTCCCTGGGAGCTGGGTGAGGGGTCTTCCCCACGCCCCACCAACACACCCAAGTGTATTTGGAGAGCCACAGGATGTCGCACAAGATATTGGGGACCATGTATGTCCAGCAGTCATTCTCCCCTGGGGTTGGGGAGCTGAGGGGATCTCTTCACGAATGTGCTTGAGTTTCAGTGACATCATTAGGAATGGTCACCTCGGGCTTTCAAGTCTCCTTTTGGGCCCTCAGACTCCTGGCCGGTGCTGAGCTGTGGGGTCATAGGAGTCCTGAGACATCCAGGAACTACAGCCGGCAGCCCTGTTCACACCGAGCCACAGAGGCAGCAGGTGTAAGAGACCAGGTGGGAACCTGTGAAAGGCAAGGTGAGCCCACCCTCTTCCCTAAAGACTTCCAAGAAGAACGCAACCTGAAATGTGGATGAGGGGACTTTACCCCCATGGAAACATTCCAGGGAAGGAAGGAAGGAGGGCTGGAATTCGGATACAGTTCCCCACCCCACGCCACCCTTAACCGACAAACCTAGACAAGGAGCGTCAGTGAGAGACAACTGGGCGGCACCTGCCTCCTGATGGAAGAACATTCCAACAGTGACCAAACAGTCTTGCCAAAAAATTTGGAGCCTGAATCTCACTGAGATTCTAGATCCAACTACCAATTTATAAGAAAAACAGAGAAGAAACATGTTTAATGACACCAGGAGGATGAAGTCAGTACAATCCAGGCTTGGGAAACCCTACAGGACAAACCGCCCAGCTTCCTCAACAAAATCAATTGAAAAAAAAAGAGCGAGCAAGAAAGGAGGAAAAGATGTAAAAGAGGAGGCTGTAGATTATAAGAGACTTAACCAATTGGAGCATGTGGGCTTATTTGGATCCTGAATCAAACACATTAAAAAATAAATTGATATTAATGACATGATTAAAATTTGAACAGTGACTGATATTTGATGACATGACTTTTTCTAGTTGTGATCATGGTATCGTGGTGATGCTGTCAAAAAGCTCGCCCTTATTCTGACATATCCACGGATTCGATGGTGTGAGGTCTGGGGGCTGCGGGTGGGAGGCACTGAAGCAGCCTTGGCCCTGGGTAGATACGCTTGTAACAGGGTGTGTGGGGTTTATCACGCTCTGCTGTTTCTGTGTGTGCTCGAACTTTCCTGTAGTAACACACAATGCTTTTAAAAAGAATAACTCAAAGGGGTGTCAGGGTGGCTCAGTTGGTTAAGCGTCTGCCTCTTGATTTTGGCTCAATTCGGGATCTCAGGGTCCAGAGATCGAGCCCTGAGTTGGGCTCTGCGCTCAGTGTGGAGTCTGCTTGGGATTCTCTCTCTCCCTGTCCCCAGCCTCCTCAACTTGTGCGCGCACACTCTCTAATAAATAAAATCTTTAAATAAAATAGACTAAACCAGGGTCTCATCTACAGGGGATGACTGGTTTGGATGATGGTCGTGGAAAATGGAATCATGACAGCAGAGCCCCCTTCTAAACACAGAGCAATGACAACAAAAAAGACAAGCACTCATTGGAATGGTGAGCCCGGCCCTGTGCTAAGTTTCATCCATGTGTGACCCTACTTCCTCTTCACAGCGGCCCTGTGACACAGGTGCTGTTGCTATCCTCACTTACAGTGGAGGAAATGGAGGTTCAGAGAGCTTAAGGAATCTGCCTAAAGTCACACAGTTAGGAGGTGGTTTGTAGAATCCAGGCCTGAGTTTCCGCCCCAATACCTGTATCCTGTCTACCCTATCACCCGCCCCGCCACTTAAAAAAATGAAAAAAAAAATCACGATGACTTTCCTGATATAAAAATGCAAACTACAGAAATGATAAAGTAACACGCTGCTACTCGTTTTGTTTTCAAGAAGCTAGGATATATGTCAAAACAGAGCTTCGGGCTAAAGCTCTGTCAGGGGGACGGGGTTTGTCTTTCCACGGGGGTGGGGAGCCAGGGGAGTTCAGGGCAGTTGGTACGACCAGGGCTGGGTCTGAAGTAGGAAGGAGAAATTTTTAGGTTTTGTGTGCAAGTCCTGCTTCTCCCCATTGTGGTTCACCGGCCCTCACCCCTGAGGCTGTCCTGTCTCCATTAAGCAAAGCAAGTGGCCTCTGATGCCACAGGGGAAACCTGAGGGTGCCCAGCATTCTGGGGCCCCCGGTGTTGCCACCCAAGGCTGAGCTGCCAGCCTCTTCCTAAATCCCAACCTCAGAAGCAAGCCCAGAACCCCAGGGACAAAGACCTTTTTTTCTTTGCTCACTTTACTTTTTCACTGGTGAGCTTAAGGCACTTCGTCTTATAAAAAATGGCTAAGATAGTGGTCACCCGAGGGCTACTATGTCCAGTGCTCTCGAGAGCTTACCCACCCCCCAGTTTCATCCAGCCAGCCCGAAGCAGCTCCCTCCACCACCCGTGCGGCAGGTGGCAGTCCCCCGGAAAGGTGACTCAATGTACAACTTTGTCCAGACGTCCGATTCCTTTTTTACCAAAGGTGTTAATTTTTAAGCTCAGAATAAGTGTGAGCTTACACACGTACAACAACGTTTACAGCAGCATGATTCATCATAGCCCGAACTGGAAGCCATGCAAATGGTACCCGCGGCGGAATGGTCAGCACGCCGCCAGAGTCCACGGGGGAGCCAGGAAGAGGACCCAGCTCCAGCCCCTCGTGACAATATGGGTGGATCTCACAATACAGAGTCGGGCAAAAGATACAGAAGACGACTCAGGGCATGACTTTGTATAAAATCCAAAACAGAGGACAGCCATCTGTGCTGTGAGAAGACAGGACAGTGGCAGCACTTGGAGGGAGGGGACTGGGGCAGGGCAGGAAGGTAGAGTTCTGGGGTGCTGGTGAGGTTCTGCTCCGTGATCAAGGTGCCCGCTGCACACTTGTGTTCACTTAGAGGAAAAGTCATCCAGGTGTGCCCTAACGAGCTGGGTTTTTTGAAGAGACTTTAGATTTTATTTATCGGTCAGAAGAGAGAGCATGTGCGCACAAGCAGGGGGAGCATCAGAGGGAGAAGCAGGCTTCCCGCTGAGCAGGGAGCCCCATGCAGGGCTCAATCCCAGGGCCCTGTGATCATGTCCTGAGCCAAAGGAAGTCGCTTAGCCAATTAAGCCACCCAGGTGTCCCTAATGATGTTTTTATAGAACACCTCAATAAACATTTCAGAAATACACGCAGATTCAAAAGAAAATTCATTATTTTCTAGTAATGCTGTTTGGGGACAAGCAGGGTGTGACACGGTTCCACCAGGAGAAGGTATCAAGTCGACAATGACCCACTTCAGAAGGATGTGCCCAAGCAGTGGGTGATGCTCTGGCCCCTCTACCCGAGCCTCGGGACCTTACCTATGTCTTCCTTGAGGTCAATTTCGGCTGTGGTTGGGTGGACAATGCCCTCCACTCTCATGGAGCCAATATGGCTGATGTCACTCTGGGTCAGGGACAGCTGCGTCAGGAAGGGAAGATGGGAGTGTGTGGGAAAGATCAAATCCAGTTAAAATCTTCACATTTCACGTCTCATCTGTTAATTCTCATGATTATATATAGCGAATGTCCGCAGAAAGGACCGGGGCATAGAGTGACTGTCAAGATTGCCAGGTATCTGGCCTTTGGTGGGCTCTTTGCAGCTCAGTGGATTTAGTTTTCACTATGATGACGGCAGCATGCGACAAGTCTGCTTCCTGTTCTAGGAGCAGGATTGGGCCCTCGCCTCGTCTTCTCTTCCCTAGAGCTATGCCTCCATCTCCCAGTCCTGGGGGCCTTGGTGTGCGGTGACACACAGTCTGAGTGGCTCCTAGGAGGGAAGCCCGGGCTGGCTCTCCCCCTCCCTGCTCAGCATCCCAATTCTCCCCAGAGCAGCCTGGACCTCTGGGGGCAGGAACGTGAGGCCGAGGGACCACACTCAAGAAAAGTGATGGGCTCCGGGACCCTGACCTGCCTTCATCGGGCCACCTTGCCTTTGGGAGACCACATTCTTGGGGCTACACTTGTGAAATGCTGCCCTAGGTGCACACAGCTCAGTGGAAAGCAGGGCATTTTCCACTGTTTCCCCTGTGAGCACGACAGTCACGTTCCCCTAGGTAAGGGACAGAAAGCTAATTGTCGCGCAGCCATAGCCAGCCCCTGCAGGGGACCTCAATGCCGTCTCTTTGCTTCCCTGTGCTCATCAGTGAAAAATGAGGAACCCGCCCCAGGTACACTCTTCTTGAACACGCTCTTCCCATCTGCTGCAGTCGCGGTGGATCCTTTTACCAGGCTGCAAACATTCAGCTCCCAGAGATGTGATTCACTGACTGTTTCTCTGTGTGTGTCTTACTTCAGCCCCGTTTGACGTGGTAGATAAATGGTCTATTCCGTAAACTTTATGCTAGTGGGAATGAATTATTTGCATGTCTGTCTTGGCTGCCGCAGACTGTTCAAATGCATAGCCCTATTTGTTTTCTTTCTGCAGTCTAGAAAGGCAAGCAGACTGAATTATTGGCAAATAATTCATTTCTAACACCGGAGATGTTCAGGAAACATCTATTTCTATTTTCTTTTTCTGATAAATCACATCGAACCATGTCCGGCTGGACTCCCAGAGCTATTTGAGAGAGTTAGCTGAGGATGTTTTGGGCAGGTCCAGGAATGAGGGGGGCGTGGGGAGTTTCCGGCAATGGTGCCATTCTTTTGCCTGACCTGGAAGCTTCTCTATCTTTGTCTGACTGATGGCACCATGAACACTTCTCGGCGCTAAAGAGCATGTTGATTCTCACAATACAAACCCTGTCAAAGCCCTTTAGTCTATACGTAAATAATTCAAGACCAGAGTGAGAGTCCTTTTGGGGGAGCAGGGATGAAGGAAGCATCATTGCTTGTGGCAAACAGGAGGTCATAAAAATGCAATAGCGTTTTTACTACAGCACATCACAATGGTCTTTATTACCTTCTGCCCTAGAACAAGGCTCTTAGAAGACAGAATGGTGAATCCATCCCCTGGCCCATCTTCGGAGGTGGAATTTGAAGTTCCTTCTTTATCGCTATCCTTTGGTTTGGACTGTTGGTAGAAATCAGAAGGACAGATGGGAACTAATCCAGAAAAAGTCCCAAGTGGCGTTATTAAGTTCTTCCTGTGGCTATGACCACCTTGGATATGAAAGGAAGTGGTTAGGTGTTCCTTTCAGTGGAGGGAAGCAAGGACAGCGACACGAGGGAAAGAAAAGGGTACCGCCCCAAAGAAAGAGTGTTAAAGAAGTTCAAAGGTACCTGTATTCCTCACTCAAATCTGGACACAGGTGTGTTATTCTTGTCCTCTGCAATGCCTACAGCTTATGATGGCAAGCCTCAGAACGAAGCGGGGTCATTCCTAGCCCACTGTTCTACCTCCCTTCTCCCCAGGATTTCCCTGGGGCATGGAGGCAGCGGAATGAACCCTTACAAACCTTTTGTGTTATCACAGAGGTCTGTGGAATGGAAATGTGACAACCCCTGCAGCAGCGTTGTCCAGTAGAACTTTCAGTGATCACAGAACCGTTTTACACCTATTGAGCACTTGAAATGCGGGTGATGTAACCAAGGAACTGGATTTTTAATCTGATTTAGTTTTAATGAATTCCAATTCAAAGAGCACATGTGGCTAGTGGTTCTGGTACTAGACAGCATATGAAAGTCTTACTCTGTAAATGGCATCTCCCAGCTGTGGCTACCTAGCACATCTCACTGGCTAGACCCAGGGGACTGTCTGTGGCAGACACACAGTCTGTAGGAGACAGAGGTGTTTTTGTGCACGATGAGGAGCTCTAAAGAGAAATGATAAACTCCAGGCTATCATCTCTCACTTAAGATTTTGACGGGGCCAGTGGAAGCATCTGGCAATGTGAAGACCACCCGTGCTTTGGCTTTGGAAACCTCTAGTAGACCTTGCTTGGTGGTTTAAGCTCTTGTCCCAGAGGCCCCTTGCCATTTTCTCCCAGTGGGGAGAGTCCCCAGCCCATCAGCGACGCTGGCTACACTCTCATCTTCTGACTGTTTCAGCTTCTCCTGTTCTCTGAGAGCCCCTGGCTCACACAGCAACCTGGGCTCACCTTTTTGGATGTCCGTGGTTTGGCTGCCTTGGATTTCTTGCCTCCCTTCTTGCCCGATGCCGCCTTCCTTCCCCTTTTCTCCGGGGGAGGGGAGAGGATACTTTCCGACTTGCCTTTGGTCCCTCGCTTTTTGGCCAGAAGTTCGGGGTGAATTCTGGGCAGGACACCTCCACTGGCAATGGTCACTCCTTTTAGCAGCTAGAAAGAGAAACATGTAAACTCAGGTAGCAAAGAGCTTGCTGGTTCTGGATTTAATACTGTTCTAACTGATGGCAAAACAAGTGTTACATCTGGCCTTTGCTTTCCCAGAGACACTGTGTGATTAGTGGTTTCACTGGCTTTCCTGTTTCACCGGTAGAGCGTGTCTCTGTAGGTATCCAGGCATCCCATGGTCCCGTACAGAAAGCAAAACAAGGCAGGCACGAGGAAAGGGTGGAAGGGTGCAGCCAGCAATGTTGCCCAGGTGTGGAATTCTAGACATAAAGGAGGATAAAGAGCTTTGCAGGTGGAGAGCTTTGCTTGACAAAACTGGGTTCAAAGGTCCATGCTAGGGCTAGACCCAGCTAACAACAGATCAGTGGTCTCCACGCTCTGGGGATCATGCATTCCATCTGTAAAGTACGCTGGACTGTGCGCCTCTCCATTAATGTTTACTTTGTACATAACTGACATGTGCTGCTGCATTAGCCCAGTCTGCACATCCCGAAACAGCTTGGGGACTCCAAGGGTGGTCTGCAGCCAGGACTGGCCCATAGACAGGCAGTTACTGTCCAGGGCAAGAGAAGTACAGATATGGCAAGGAAGAGCCCAGAAACTTTTAAAGCAAGCTGACAAAGGTATGGTATATCTACTGGATCAAATAGCAAAGAATTGTGGCTTGTGGTTTGTATGTTTTGTTTTTTTAAAAATGTTTCTGGCAATTAGTTTTTATTGTATATTTGGAAATTATCAGTCCATGATGGACTGGAAATAGGAGCTGATTCTTCACCACACACAGTTTGAGAAGAAAATGATTAGAATAAAAATTCTTACACCATCCACCATCCATCTCACATTTCCCGGGGGAGGCATTCACAACACTTGGTAATTAATTCTATGCTAAGAAGAAGATTCTCCTGTCCTCATCAGAATAAATCATCAACAAAATTCAGGTGAAGAAACCATGAATAGCATCTCTGCACTGTATCTTCCCCAGCCACACACAGAGCTCACTTCTAGAAAGGAAAAGAAGGTCTGGCAAGACCCAGAGTAGGTAATGGGTTTATTCCAGAAGCAATTTTCTCTCTGAATGACTGAGCTAGCAGAAATGGTTCTTCTCCTACACAATCTGAAAAAAAAAAATTTTTTTTTTAATATGCTTGGGAACTATAGCAGGAATGATAACGTAGCCAACCGGGTCCATGAGCCGTTGTGTGTCCGGCAAACATGGCTTGTCGTGATGTTTCAGACAAGACGTACCTGGTTGAGCTCCTCATCATTGGCCACCGCTAGCAGGATGTGTCTCGGTGCTATCCGGGCCTTCTTGTTGTCCCTCGCGGCATTCCCAGCCAGTTCTAGAATTTCCGCTGAAATCACAATGGAGAGTTAATAGGCAATCACAGAACGGGGTCTGAGATTTCTAGAGCTTTTCTTTGGAAATGGTCTTTGAATGTGATCACATTGATGCATTTGTGAGTTTTAATGCCAGGCCTGGAAAGAAATCCGGAAAGCTGGAAAGAACTCAGGTTACAGACGTTGACGATATTTTAGCAAGTCCTGCTCTATGATCCCATGGCAGTCTTCCAGCGACCCTCGACATTAATTCTCCCTCATTTTCCTTAGCATCTGGACCGCTGACTTTTTGTTGAGCCCACCGTCACAAGAGAAAAAGGTATTTCCCAACCTGTCTTGTTGAAAACTGTGGTCATGTGACTAGATTCTGGCCAATGAGAGGGAGGCATCCTCCTGTGAGTTACTTCTGGGAAGTGTCCATCAATGGCGGGACTGTGCCCTCCTTCCCTTTCTGCTGGCAGACTGGGAACGCGATGGCTGGAATTTGGCCCAGAGGAAGAACAAAACAGAAGGAACTGGAGTCTCCTGTGATGGTGGAAGCTCCTGACTGGCCTGTCCTTCCTTACTCCTGGACTGTCTTCCTCAGCTTCTTTTGTATGAGAGAGAAGTAACATCTCCCATTTAAGCCACAGTCAGCAGGAGTTAATGCTGACCAGTATGGAGCCCTAACACAGGACTGGAGTCTCTTCTTAGTCTCAGGAGAGCAGGGCCATCTCTGAAGAGGATAGTGATGTAGGCAGAGTCTATCTTTGGTGCCCACTGGGACATCTTCCAGAATCTCCTTTTCCTCTTCACTTGATGCCCCAGGTCCCTCCTGTCCTAAAGGAAAGTGGATGGGAAGAACTAACTCGTACTGTGGGATGAGGAAATGTTTAACCCGGAAAGTGAATTCTGAATGCGGGATACCTACAAGGCTTGGAAGGAAGGTATTTGGGGTTTGGGGGGGTTCCACATATCCCTCAGGATCTGACTTTACCAAACATGTCATTTGATAAACGTGAAAGGGCTGATAAAGAGGAATTTTCCTACAATTCTCTTACGTGTCATCAAAATTTTTAGTCAAAATTAAAAAAAAAAATCTGTAGAATTGGATCATACCATCTATATGCTTTCCTCCTTTCCTCTCTTTCTTCATCAACTTCAGACGGATGTTCTGCTAATCAAATTTGTCCACCTTCAAAAGTATTAGTGAAGATTTAAGGAAAAATTCCTTCACTTAGAACGCTAGAGGCATGTGCCAATGTGTTGTCTCACTGATACTGTGGTGGCGAAGTGTGTGTGTATGTGTGTGTGTGTTGGGAGAATTTGCTGGTACAATGGCATAAATACTAAGCTCTAAAATTAACAGGCAATTCTGTGTGAGTTTTTACAATCAACCTAATTTCAAATAAATAGCACATGAAATTGCCATCACTCATAAAAATCTATGGCAATAAAAAAACTGCCTAAGTATGCCATATTAACTAAGCAAATGTGATTAACAAAAAATTAGAATAAAATACGCATTAGAGTTAAATATTTATATAGAATTTCCATAATGAAAAGTTGTAAATCACTGCAAATTCATTCTCACAAGATCTTTTCCAGGTTATTAAGCAATGAATATCGTGTTTACCCACAATCCATTTATACAGTGGCTGTGTTTTCAGGATCAAAGACTGGGGGATGGTAGTTTAAGAAGTATGACCACGCTTGTTGGGACGATGTGATAGAGTATTTGAAATTCATGCCCTATTAGGTCATCTGGTTGGCTAGTTCAAGCTGCTGACCAACCCTTTTTTCCCTTGAAAGAAGGGTATCCATCACAAAGAACTGTAGTTATGAAGTTTTCGCAAATAGGCTGGCTTTTTTGACTCTAGGTTAAAATGTACAGCTCCCCATTTGTACAATAAAAAGGAGTTGCCTGCACCTGCTCATCTAGGGGGTTCTCCCTGGGGGGAAGGAGGACTCCTCTCAGCCCTTTTTCTAGATTGGGTGGGGGAGGTAAAGGAGCCCCCCACTTTTAAACTTCTGAGCCACTGAATTGAATTCAGGATCTGGGACTACCACTTTTCTGCCTGTCTCCCGCACTTAGAGGAAGACGTTAAGCACCCTGCCATGTTCTGCAAATTAGCTGTCAGCATGAGAGGCAGGGTAAATGGGAAGCCTGACAGACTTGGAGCCTTCAGGAAGCCCCCTGAGGTTGGGCTATTTTCAGCTTGACAGACAGGATGCACACACATTGGATTCACAGACGGACAGCCTGCCGGAATCCAAGGCAGCACAGCCTGGCCAGCATGCCACTGGACTCCCGGACTAGCCCTTTCTGAAATCAGAGAGGAGAGAAAAACCTCAATTCTGTACTCCAGCAGAAAAACAGAGGTAGACTTTTGCTGTAGAAAGAGAAAAACTTCTTAACAATACACAGCCGAAAATCTAGACCAAGGACTTCCCTGTTGGATAGGTGGTCTGATTGTTCCTCGGGACAAGGACTTCATGGTTTAAAAGTCTGAAATAACATTATTATTAATATTTTCCAAATGTTATTATGACCCATATATTCACATGAACTATAAATGTTTGTTACATTCTTGAGTGATTTTATTGATTTTGAGAACATAAGTATCCTTTTATTGGCAGTCAGTAGGAAAAATGGATTTCTATAGCACAAATTTGTTTCGCTGAAAATTTTGTGGGAAGATTATTATTCTGTGAAGTGGTGAAGACTTCCTTGGGAGTCTATAGACTTCTATATTCTTGGAATTCACACTTCCAGCAATAGGAACCATCTGGAATATGGCTTAGAATCTGGTCATTAAAAAAAAATGATTTCTGTAGCCAAAAGGGATTTTGGAAATCTCATCATACACATAATCTCGGAAGAGCTGGGTCCTCTTGTTTTGTCCACAGTCTGACCAGCATTGGCTACCTGAGCCCACGGGAGCCCGGAAATAGCAGAGTGACTGCAGGGCTGGGGCAGAGGGCACGGCGTGGCCACGCCTTCAAGATTGTTTCCTTCCTCAGCCCCTTCCTTCCTGCCCATTTGCCCATGAGGTGATGATGCCCCCAGGGGTCTGTCTGGGCCCTCTGGTCTGCCCAGGCCATGCAGTCTTCCAGGGAAACCCCATCCATTCACGGCTCTAGCTTCTCTGTGCCACCAGATCCGCACCTCCAGTCCTGATGGGATGTCCCCTGGACAGCCTCCCCTGGCTGTTCCACCCGTAAATGGAACTTACCACATCCCCAAATCCAAATCATTTCCTTGGGGTGGCAGCTCTAACTCCATGCAGTTCCTTCCAGAGACCTGCAAGTCTTTCCCTCCATCTCCCCTTCTCACCTCCTCCTGGCCTCACGAGTCATACCTCTTCTCCATACCTGCTGCCTGAGGGCCTGAGTTCAGGCCCTCTTCTCTTTGAGCCCAGAGAGTGGTCATGGCTGCCCAAATGGTTTCCTTGCCCCCATTTTTGTCTTCCTCCAGATCCATGCCAACAACACCACTGCTGGCCCATAGGCACCTTTGTACAAATTCCAGGTCCTTTCTGCCAGACACTTTGCTTCCCTGATTTTGTCAGAACAACACCCTTTACTGCCATCTGCTGGCGATCCTCATAATAAATATACAAATCTTCAAGGTTATGAGCGGAATGATATTCCCACACATGAGTGGAATGTGTGTCCTTGCACAGTGTACAACCTGTACAACCATACATGTGGCCCTGGATGCCAAAGTCATCTTTTCAAAACATAAATGTAATAAATGAAAATCATTAGATAAACAAATGCATGTTGTTAAATGGAAAGACCCAACTGTCTGGAAATGCTGTAAATGATGGGTTTCTATGTGACACAGTGACTTAAGGTACCTGGAAATTCAAGCTCTTTTAAAGGCCTATTTGTCCTATCAATTAAAAGTATATTATAGAACATTTCCTCACTACAAAAATTATTTAAATTATTCACTTTTAATATCTTACATTTATGTTATATCTATTGTTGGTAAATACAAAACTATTTTCCAGGATTGGGGGCTTGCTTTTCAGTCCATCTTCCCTCACTTCTATTGGAGATGTGAGCTGGACCAACATTTACAGATGACACACTGAAATATGAATGTGATGTCCATTCTGGGAAGCTTGAGAATGTCTCAGGTGGAAGGAACATTCTAGATGCGCAGTTCAGCATGCCTCTGCTACTAGACTGTGCAACCTCCTCCCCCTTTCTTGGGACTTAGAAACACTGCATGACTCTAACATCCTGGTGATGTATGAACCAGGGCCCAACCTGGCAGCCAGTCTGGAGAAATCGGGCAAGGCAGACTGCTTTCTCTTGCCCATCCACTGTGGGCATGAAGAGCACAGTCTGCTGTTGAGATCAGGGCAGGAGAGAAGAGCCGAATGGTGAGACTTATAAGCTCTTTTACGAGGTTCAGTGAGGAGAGACAGCAAAGGTGATGCTCTGTGGGTAGGACGGTGTTGCCCAGAGGCTGATGTGTTCGTATGGGGACACTGTAGTGTGCTCATCTGTACCCAGCTGTCCCTCTGCTTCTGGGAACCAGAGGAGAGACCTATCCCCTTCGACCAGAGCCTCCAGCCAGCTCCGGAGGCCCCATGGGTCCTACTTCCCTGATGGGCCCCTTGTCTCCAGCATCTGCAGCTTCTCTCCCTCTGCCTGGGAGGCTAGATCATTGTTGGTGCCAGGATATTCTTTCCTGCTTTGTTGAAAGCTGACCATATAATTCTGGGTTCATTTCTGGGTTTCCTATTCCGGTCCATTGATCTATGTGTCTGTTTTCCTGCCAATACCACGCTGTTTGGATGACTACAGTTCTGCAATTTTATAACTTGAAGTCTGGAATTATGATGCCTCCAGTTTTTTCTTTTTTAAGACTGCTTTGGCCATTCAGGGTCTTTCTGTGGTTCCATACACATTTTAGGGTTGTTGGTTCCAGTTTCGTGAAAAATGCGGTTGGAATTTTGATAGGGCTTGTGTTAAATCTATAGATTGCTTTGGGTAGTGTGGACATTTCAACAATACT